TTATTGCCTGGAGAGTACCAGTTGCCCTGGCCAGTGGCAGAGAAAAGCTATTTAGCTAGATGGTTCGGGACTTTTTCCTTTTGTTTTGTTTTGCTAGAGCAGCAGGATCTGCAGGATCCTCAGTAAAACGTAAGAGCAGCGGTGCTGGCTGGCACCCGGGTGAGTGCAGCCATCCCTACGGGCCTCTGGGGCAGCGTCCCAGGTGCCCCCAGCACCGCGCCGCACGGCTGCAGCTGGGGCTCAGCACAGCTGAGGGGTGAAGGAAAAGCTAAAAGTTTTTGCAGTCCTCTCACAAATCTGCACTTGCTGGGGTTTTTTTTTTTTCCCCAGCTTCACAAAATAATCCAAGGTTTGTATTCTTGCCCCATGATTTGACTTCATTGTGTCCTTTTACCAGGCATTCCCGCTGCCTCACTTTTAATCACAGCAGAGCAGCAGTAGTCATGGATTAGGGACCATTAAACACCTCTCTGCAAAAACTGCAATATGCTATCCAGTTTCCTAAAAGCTTTGGTTTCAAAGAGAACTAGAGCTTGATGCTTCCTGACGCCCTAATCCAAGATTCACTGAAGTCAACGGAAATATGAGAAAACCTTTAAAAAAACCCATTAAAGTGGTGCAATTTTGGCATAGAAGCACATTTCATAGCAATACCTGGTATTTAGTCATGTATATATGGTTAAATCCCTGTCTTACATCTGGTGATTTATAGTAAAAGTGCCTCCTTTCCTTCTGCTGTGTCAATAAGTCTAATAAAAAGGTATTTCCCCAGAATATTTTCCCAGCCTGCAGTCGCCAGCAGGGGCATGCCATTGCAACTTTACTCTTCCTGAGCATTTTTGCAAAGCTTTCTACATAGGAAGAGATTCTTTGTAGTAGGCAAATCAGATACAAAACATGTCAGGAAGTTCCTGTTCTGATGTATCTTGGCATCTCAAGTACCCAGAGATTAGAAGGACTTTGGAGCTAAAGTCAGAAAACTATATTTGAGAAGCTGAATCTTGTATCATCTTCAGAGACCTGCTCTTTGCTATGCTGCAACAGCAACAGGCTGTGCAAACAGGATCGATAAGCTCAATAAGGTCTTGAATTTATGCCTTTTGGGCTACAGTTAACAACCTTAGGACACCCCAACCGGCATCAGCTTCCGGGGACTTGTGAAGTCTGTAAAGCTACTTACCTATTCCATATTTCATTCTGCATTTGAGATTGGATGTGCAGCAGCACAATCCAGAGAGCTATGATGGGATTTTTCCATTTTACTGTTGAAATGTAAATGTTCTCAGCAAAAGGCACATTTTATAGCAGGTATATAAAAATACGAAGGAAAGGGCAAAACTTCACAGCCTTTGAGAGAAAGCCCTTCAAACCTAGCGCTGTCACTCTTCATTTATTACCATAAATATAAAAATACTGTGTAAAGCATGACTGGGGTTACAAATTCAGTCACTCGTAAGGTTAGGAAATAGAGAAGAAAAGTTGCCCAGGTAACCTCACCCCGTGCAGCCGCTGTGCCCTTGTGCTTGCTGCCTTGCTACTCAAAAGCTGTGCTGACCTTTGCAGGGCTGGCAGTTTCTGGAGGGTTTAAGGTTTCATACGCAGAAGCTCCTGAACGCCAGCCCTGGCTGAGCCCGCAGCTCACCCACACAAGGGAATGCAAGAAGTGGGCAGAATGATAGTATTAAAAAAGGTGTGCATCTCTATTGCATTTTAGGCTTCTTGTGTCTGCTTAAGTATGAAAAATGCAAATAAATAGGAGTTGAGCAGGATAAGTTGTCAGAGATGAGAGATTCTCCCCTATTAGGACTACTAGAATAAATTCTCAAGTGCAGTGATGAGATTTGGATATTTTGGATTGCACTAAAGAGAAGTACTGGAATAAAATACAGTGAGAAGACAAAGCACATGGCCAGGCAAAGCTGTCCTACTCCTTTTTCTTCTTCTTTTTTTTGATCTTTACCTCATGTAAGAGCTTAACAGAAGAGGGATGATCCAAGTCCCTTAGTCTTGTATCCCAATAACCAGCAGACTGCTTGAGTAAAGACTGTTGCCTTGGCTAATGGATAATGGAGTTTTCTAGACTGGTGAAACTAGTCTTGTTTTTGCTATTGTTAAGAGAATATGACATCCGCTTTCTCTGTTTTGTTCTATTTTGCCCGTTGCTGAGAAAAAATAGATAAAATGCCATGTTTCATAAGCAAAGCTGTATCCAAACAAAGTGCAGCAGTTTAGATCCCTAGCAGTACCTATTTAGAGAGGGCTAAAAACCAATCAATCTAAAGGAGTAAATTCCTCCTTCGGTCAGTTCCTCCGGAAAGCAGCATTCCCCAGGGTCAAGCAAGGCTTGGGGCCACAGGCAATGGGATCATGCTCACAGGCAATCACAGCCCAACCCCAGAAGCGGGAATAATGGTGAAGGATAAGCTATAAACCTGCCCACATCAGGTTATCCTCAGAAAACTGCTTCACACAGAATTAATTTGCTGTCAGCTTCCACGGCCAGCTTCATAACATTTTTGCGCGCTTTGATTTAAAGCAGTATGTTCCTGCTTGGGCTTGTCATATTTCCTTCCAAGTGTGTCCATGTGAAGCTATACTCATCTTATAGAGTTGGTGTCAGCATTGCTCCTGACACACTTTTATAGACTAGTTTCACTCAGTAAATGGGGCCTTTTCGGTTTTACTGTCCCTCCTAACTAATAATTTCTTACCCTACTGACCATTCTCAGCTGAAACTGGGCTCTTAGAGAGCCTAGCACTTTTTGCCCATGGCAGTAGCTTTGCCCCACAGAGTCCATTGGGAAACCTGGTCCTCTTAAATCCACTGCTCCTGGAGCCACCTGTCCTATAGGTTGCCAGCAGGTTGGTGGGGCAGCCCAGCGGTTGCAGGAGCTGCCTCTGCTTCTTATCACCTGTGCTTATCTTGGCCTGTGCTCCTCTGTTTCTTATTTACAAATGCTCATTCTAGCTTGAATTTCTTTCATACAAGTTGATAGCCTTGTCGCTGTACCAGAACTAACTTTATCTGTACTTGAACTGTGGATCCCATGACTTGCTGAATATGTATATCTTTGGGGTGACACACCACCTGTAAGTGTGAATGATGTATGGCAATGTGTGTTACAGGGAGAGATTATATGAGGTTCAAAAATGTCACTAGCTACTAGCATGAATTTGCCATCTTTGTATTCTGTCTATATGAAAAATAGAAAGCTTTAGTCAGAGGACAGTGCCTTTGCAATTGTGAAATAATAGATGGGCAGCCAAGGATTGCAAAGGCTATCTAGGGCATGTTCATTGGGGATCATCTCAGTTGACCTTTAATCTCGCTGCTTCTTTAGAATTTCATTTAATACTTTATAGGAACTGCAGGTTGTTCTAATCTAGGGGCACTAATGCTTGCGCTTTTAGTTGTCTGCTCATGGAAAATTTTTCTGTCTGCTCCCCAGCAACAGTCCTGTAGGTATTAATTCATTAATGCTGGAAGCACAGGCATTCTGCGACTCTGAATTTCCTCCTCTGTAAAGAGAGTTCAAAAAATAGGGAGTTTTTAGATTCTTTGAGATTTGCTCCCTGCACCCGTATCCTAAACATTGCAGAGATTTCAGAGCTGTATATTTCCTCCCTCTCCTAGTGCTGTAAATTGCTGCATTAACCTTGGGACCTAGCACAAGCTTGGGGCTGCACTCTGCTTCCGTCCTCTCCTTTAACAGTGCTGTCCCGATCACGTCTCTCTGCTTCTCTTCATCACTGTAAAACTCCACGTTTTTTTCTCAAGTGCAGCTCAAAGACAGGGACCAACAGCCACGTAGCGTTCCTTTTTAACTTATTTTAGGAGCAGAGAATGAAAGGGCTCTACCTCTGCTTGTGAGAACAGGTGTCTATCTCTGACCATATACTGCCTTCTTAGTCTTCTTCTGAAAAAAGTACGTTTATGCCTATAATAGAGTGACTGTGCTACAGGAAATGCCATGCTGTGTGTACATTGATCAGCACTAAAATGCTCTTGTATTGTCTTTCCTTTGGAAACGTAAACTCATAATTCCCTCTCTGAGCACTACCTGTGCTGCAGTCCAATTTCATAAACCCAGCCCTGGCCGGCTGCTGGTCAGCAGCTCCCACCTGAAAGGCCTGTAACACGACAGCAGGACATTTGGTACTCCTTAAAGAAAGATTTAGGATTTAAAGCACTTCTCAGCAAAAACAGAGAGGAGAGGGGAATGTTTCACCTTCTGCTTTCATGCAGTTTGCCCTGCCAGCACTGAGTGATGCTGGCAGCGTTGAGGTGGAGCGACGCTGATGGCAGAGCAGCTATATCGGGGTGATTTCACGGGGCTTGCTTTCTCTGGCACTTACCTACTTTGCCTAGGGTGATGCAATAACTGTCCTCACAAGAGCAAAAAAAAAAAAAAAAGTTTAAAAAGTCTTCTGAGCTGTTTCATCCTCAGTGATTTTGCCCCCGTGTTTTGTTTAGAGAGCTGTGAGCTGGCATGGCTGGGGCCGGGGCCGGACACCTGCCTCCCCTGGGGCTGTTTCTTCCTCAGCTTGCTCCTTGCCACTCCAGCGTGCAGACACTTGCTCTAAAGCAACAGGCATCAAACACGTATCATTACGTACGTTTCCGTGGCAGACTAGAAGCAGTATTACTGTTGGTAAGCAGTTTTAGGGCAGCTCTGCTTCTGGGTATATATACTGCCTAGCACATTTTTCATGGGCTGTCTACTGCAATCTAATACTAATACGGTAATTACAGCGCTCAGTCAGTGTCAGCGCAATGCATATCTCCGGGATTATGCCCTGCCTGGTGAATGAAAGCCCTTTCCGAAAGAGGCGCGAGCCGGCTGGCACACGGCACCGTCGCGGCCGCCGCGCTGCGGGGAGATGGAGGAGCAGAGGACTGGCGGCAGCTGCCTGGTAGATCCCGCTGGACAGCGCTGCTGTCACCGCCGTCTTGTATTTTTGTAAGGAGTGTGCGGTTTTGATTTCCTCTTCTGTTTCAGGGGCGGGTCGTGAAGCTGTGCAACACCGAGGAGTAGCAAGTGTGTCAGCGATGCGGGGTTTAGAGGAGAGGTGCAGCATGGCGAATTCACATTTAGTAGCGGCATATGCAGAGGGATGAAAGGCTTGGAAGGCCATGTTTCCTCTCGGCACATCAGCATCGGATCACTGGTTTAGCAGGAGGGGAGAGAAGCAGTGCTATTCATGGCAATCTCTTCTTTCTGGTTTACTTCACCTGTAAAGGAACCAAAAAAAGGGAATCTGGTCTCAGAATAGTATAATTTTCTTTCTATATCATGACATGTGCCATGTAGTTTGGACATTTTATGTCTCAACACCATGTCACTCAAGGGGACTTTTTTTAATACGTTTTACTGAACTTAAAAAGCAAATAAAGTGTTTGGTCAGAAGCATTGCAATGACACACCAGTTAGAGTTTAGGACCTTGGCTGTCTGTTGCAGGATCTCAGATATTATGTTAATAACAGTGACTACAGCACCATGCTATGATTGTTTACCAGTTATTACTATAATGGTTATTGAGTAAGTATTACATTAGTAAAAACAATTATATTGCTTTTAGGTCCCTTTGTCAGCCTCCACTGACCAGATAGGAAGTGCGGTGCTCTGTTGTGAGCAAACACTGACCCAGCCCAGCTGTCTCCCATCCACCTCTGATTAGAGCTGCAGTCGCACCTCGGAGGTCTTCAGAAAGCAGGTGTAACTCTGTGGCTTCCTTCCCTGCAGTGTGTTCCCAGGTCTGTCAGACCCAATTACTTGTAAATACCAATCCAGCTAATATGACTGCAGTGTCAGCGCAGACGTGAAGGGCACTGGGAAGGAGTGAGAGACAACCGGTGCTGTGTGTGAGTTAGTAAGAGCCAAAAAAAAAAAAAAAAAAGAGAGGCTCTTGCAAAGCCCTTATTCATCAGCCTAGCACAGTGGAGTAACAAATCGTTAGGGAAATTTAAGCTGGTGCTGAAAGCTAGCGTGCTTCGCTGCTTTTTCACTCGAGGGATAGCTTTCATCCTGGACTGTAATGCTTGTGATATTTCAGACACGGCTTGCTTTGCCTAGGTCACGTGAACGATGAATATCACAGTATTTCGAAGTTTCTAGTAAATGAAACACGCATGGGAATGAGTGCAGATACAGATCGCTTGCGTCAAAGCCAGCTTTATCAGGGCTTGGTGAGATATCTTTTTCAAGGGCCTAGAGCAATTGAAAAGCAATTAGTATTTCATTGTATCTCCCGGTTCCATTAGCCATCCCATAGGTTCAGATGAGAGTCCACACGGAAAAATCTGCAGCCGTGCTTCCGCTGAGCAGCCATTGTAATACACAAGTATCAGATGGTACCAAAAGAAAATTTCAGTGGGATACCTTGTCTTTAGATACACCTCAGGCCTTAGGAAGGGATATCCTACCATTAAAAAGAGGGAAAAGAATTGGGAAATGCTTCCTTTTCGCCAGGTAGGTGGGTGACAGAAGCAGGAAGTAATTTTCAGAAAGTTGCAGTGCGATAGCCAAAAGCTACATATCCTTTTTCCCACCTAAGAAGCACATCTGGTTTGCGTTCTTCCAGTGGTGCATTTGTTAAAAGAGCTTATTCATTAGTGAGTTGAGAGCGACAAATCTCTGCACGAAAGGTTTTGTCTTTATTGAGCAGGCTGGGCAAGCCGGGGAAGAGGGCTCTAAAGGGGAATCTTGCACCCCACGAATGCTGGGATCTGGCAAGTAGAAAGCTGCAAAAAGTTTAGGGGGAAAACTGTCTGCAGTGGCTAGTGGAGCCAGATCTGTGCAGAGGGGGAGTTTGCTGGTTAAGGAGCAAGGAGATCCCCTGGTTTTGTCATATTCTGCCATGACCTTCCCACGCTGTCCTGCACAGTGCCAGAAAAACACTTCCTGTGACGTGCTCCTGAAGAGTGATTAGTGATGCAGTTAACGAACACTGATTTACATCACTTGGGGATAAATCCACCTTCTGACCATCTGTTACAAGTGAATCTGGTTTTCTTCTGATCCACTCTGGTGCCAAGCAGACCTACCTTCATTTAAATCACTGATGTGCCTTGGAGTAAAACTGGTATGAAAGAGTCAGTCTGTTGGAAAGATTTTTGAATCAGGCTTGTACTGTGAGGCAGAGACAGTGTTCCTCTGGATGTTTTGCTCATGGCTGAACATGAGGGTGCTTAACAACCAGCAAGACGTTAACTTTCCCTGTGAAATGCCCATGTGCAACTCTGAAACTGTTTGCTTTAGAGGTAGTAGTAATATGAAAGCAGGCTGTTTAAGCTGCTGGTGTATTTAGAGCAAGCGTTTTTGGTCACTCTTGCATTTTTAAGTAATGTCAGATCTCTCACAGGCAGTGCTGTCTAATGAATGCAAACCAAAAATGTGATAATCCATTTCCAAGCCATCAGTCGCAAGTCATCATTGCACAGGGAACGTTACTTATGCAGCTCATAAGCTATAGTGATGCTTGGGCATAATTCCTCACACACCACAGTAGCAGCAATTGCCTTCAGAGCTGGATTTTCTAAGCCAGCCTCTCTGCTCTTAAGTTGCGAACACTGTCACTGCAATGGCTGTCTCCTTGATTTCGCAGGTTCAGTTTGATGCACATACGATGTCAAGCCCACACCTGCCGGCAGATGCCAGACTGCACCCAAAATGACTTGCTCCTATTAGTAGCAGTGAATAAAAAGACAGGCTGGCAGCTATTAGGAGCTGGTTCTCTCCTCTTTTTTCCAAGTCCTTCTCTACTGGAGAAGGCAAAGATGCCTTCTTTGGGCATCTCTAGTCTCATCCTTGCCTCTTAGTATGAAAACTTGGGACATATTGTGTGTTCACATTTATAATTGCTCTTAATTCAGGCTTTATTTCAGTGTCTTCCTTGACATCTAATTCCGGTGTATTCTCTGCTACTTACTGTTCCCCACCTTGGTAATCTCATTCTCTCTTTCTGCTCTCATTCCTCACATTGCAAGACTCGTCTCGAGTTTGTTAAAAATGGATTTCACTGAAGGACACGCTTTATCTCTTCTTTTACTTGCTGAGCTCCTAGACAAAGTGAAAATCATTGTGTCCCTTCCTGCCATTAGTACCGTGATCACTGCATCCAACAATCTTTTTGGAAGTTTAGCTGCTACAACGCCACACAGTTTCCTGACCCCGTGTATTCTCCATAGCCAGGAGATGTGATCACAACCAAACTGTATTGAAACTGTGATGAAATAAATTCTCCATTGAGTAATCTCTTTCCTAAGAGACTGTTAACCAAAGGAATAATAAAAACTTGTTTAGCCATCTTTGAAAGACATTTTAGCCAACTCTGGTTGGTCTCCTGAGTACAAAAATGGTATAAAAATGTTCCTTCTAGCATAAATTGAAATTGGCTTCTGATGGCAATTTCCTGCATATCAGAGGGAAATGCTCCTATATTGTACCATTTTAAATGTGAACCTTCAGCCTAGTAGTGTATTCCACCTGCTTCTTTTTGCAGTCACACCCTCTGCCCTTAGACCTGGTAAAACATCAACTGTGTCAGTTAGTGTTTCGTACACGAGTGTAACCTAGACCCTGAGCGGTGAAATGGAGATCTTTCTCTCGCGTAGGGGAGGTCGCTGAGATCATGGGTCGTGTAGTCCCTCATTGTCATGCCTATATTTCTGGTCCTGCTCTGACGCTTGAGAGGTTTTGCTCTGTAGTCCATTGATATTTGGTCTATGGGCCACCCCCAGAGATCTTACATTCTTTCTCTTAGGCTGAGGACAGACTCAGCCTAGAAGCTCAATATCTGCATCCTGGCAATACTGAGCAATCTTCAGCCGAACGCTGGTCAGCAGGTTGTTCTCGTGCAAAGCAAACAGAACGGTATGAAAATGCTTAAAGCGAGGCCCTATCTTTGTGTTATATTAAGAACTTGTTAGTCTGTATCTGTAAAATCCTTTTTTTTCGGTGAGGAATGGAGCATGCAACTTCCAAAGCCAGATTGCTACCTGTTATTTTTCCAATCACCTGATCTATTTCTGTTACCTGACCTTTAACTTGTATTATTTCTTACGGCTGAGCAATGGCTTTATCACTTTCTGTGGCCTGCCAGAGCCCACGTGTTGATCTCACCTAGTTTCTCAAGTTGTATATTTCTAAATGTAATGTTTTGCCTACATAAGAGCAAAAGGTGGGTTAGGATTTGGCGCGAGGTTTTGCATTTCTGGCATGATTGGCGGTTTGTTACAGTAGTGCTTTGAGGGCCCTCACAGAAATTGGTAAACTCAGCCCTGAATCTGAGAGCTTGCAAATTAAATGCAGTAACCAGGCAATATCCTCTTGCTCAAGTTGTTGAAAGGCTGCAAGAGCTGGGCCTGTTCAGCCTGGAGAAGAGAAGACTGAGAGGCGATCTGATCAACGTGTACAAGTATCTGAAGGGAGGGTGTCGAGAGGATGAGGCCAGCCTCTTCTCCGTGGTGCCCAGTGACAGGACAAAAAGGCAACGGGCAGAAACTGAACCACAGGAAGTTCCATCTAAGCCTGAGGAAAAACTTCTTTCCTGGGAGGGTGACAGAGTGGTGGAACAGGTTGCCCAGAGAGGTGGTGGAGTCTCCTTCCCTGGAGATATTCAAAACCGACCTGGATGCGATCCTGGGCAATGTACTCTAGAGGACCCTGCTTGAGCAGGGAGGTGGGACGAGATGATCTCCAGAGGTCCCTTCCAACCTCAACCATTCTGTGATTCTGTGAAGTTACTCTTGCCTGAAGTCACACGGTGAAGTAGGGAGTATGAGGTCCAGGACGGTGTCCCGAAGCTCCTGAATTGCAGCGACCCGTCCTGCCCACTGGGACTTGATGCCACTCTGACTGGTGCCTGCTTTCAATCACATCTGTCCCCAGAATAATGCTGTGCTGAGGGAAAAAAAAAAGAAAACACAGTAGCTCTATATTTATCCTGGCTAAGCTTGTGCAACAGGTTTTCAGATGATGTTTTCAGTGTTTAAAATCTTTTCCATTAAACTGTTTCAGTACCCAGAAGAAAACATTTGCCTTACGAAGAAAAACACATTTCTCTTACTCAGCTTCATTAGTTATAGGAAATCACTGGATTAAAGTAGAGAGCAGATTAACAAAAATAAACTGTAGCACGTCTTGCGCATATGGTGCCGCGTATGAATGGCTTTTAACTGCTTAACTGCGTGTGACAAAGAGCAGAAAGAGAGATTCGTCTTAGCGTGCCGCAATTATAATTTGCAGTAGCTCCATAGCTGAAATAAGCCTACCTTAATAGTCAGAAACCACAAAGCCGCGGAAAGCTTTCCTTGGATTTGTACGCCTTGCGTGTCCCCCGGCGTTCCCGTTGTGTTTTGTGACAGCTGGCGGCCAGGCGCGAGAGGGGACGTAGCTAATGAGCAGGGTGCCTCTCCCTCCTTTCCCTTCCTCCCTGCTGCAGCTCACCTTTTGTGGACCTTTGCCTGTACCGGCTTCTTCGAATTGGGCTCAGGAGGACCAGGTTACATCCTCCGTTAAAGAGCTGTGAACGGCAAGTAAGTCCCGTAAGCACATCGCGCAGCAGGGGCTTAGCACTGGTTACAGAGAGCAGGATTTCGCCCCGCGGAGACTGCGGCCGCCTCCGTCACGCCGACCGGAGGACAGCTGGTCTGTGGGCAAGCCACTAACGACCGCAAGGCTTGCCTCAGCTGGCAATCGGCCCTCGTGCCGCAAATATAAATACAGGTTGCCATAATATAATCACGCTGTAAACGGAAGAGGCCGCAGCGTCAGACTGATCGTTAGGGGGTGTCATCCGTCGGGCTTTGTCTGCCTTTATGGACTGAAAAATTAATAGGGCCTCCGGAGTTTGCTGAAGTCTGCCGTGTTTCTTGCTGGAGTGGTAAACACGCAAAATATTTTCTCTGAGCAAACGTGCTGCGAGCCACTGAAGGCCGTGGTAGACAGCGGTGGAATAAACCGCTGTGAAAGGGATCTGCGGCTGGCAGAAGGGAAGAAACTGCAAGTTGAGGCAGAGCCCGATATTCGCTTCTCCTGTGTATAGAGAGCAGGCTCTAGGAGAGCTGAAGACTTTGGGGCATGACCAAAGCAAACAGCCCACTGCTAATTCAAATTACTCCATAGTTTCTAGCGTCCCCCTTTTTTGCCTAATGTCTGTTGTCCCCATATGATGTTTACACCCTTTAACCTACAAAGGTCAAATTTATGCCTCATCCAAATACATCCAGCTCACGCTGGTTTGAACTTGGCCCTCAAACGCAAGGCTGAGAGAGTTGGTGCAAAACCTAGTAAGCCTGCGGCTGTGCTTCACCTCCCGCTCCTAAGGAAAACAACAATCCTCTTTCGTTTGAGTGGTGAGAGGTTTCTGAAAGCTAAGCAGTGGTGATGACGTCACTTCTGTCTCAAATGCGTGTCTTAAAAAACTGCTTGTAAAGTGGTATAAAGATTTGCAAAGCTAACCTCATCACATTTACAAAAATAAATTCAGAAATAAAGGGAGAATGTTTTTATCACTTGGTCTTTATCTGGGCTCTTCAGTGTGTTTGCTAGCAAGGATTAAACTATAATGTTATGCACATGGCTTAAACATACTTGACCTTCCCTTTTTCTTTATTGCTTTTCTCCGAGGTTTCCCAAATGTTTTTCACATCCACAGTGAATAACATTCTTGGACTTCTGCCCTGGATTCATCAAACATAAGTCATTGCCCCGTTCAACAAGAAAGTTGAGGAGAATAAAAGAGATTTTTTACCGCTGTGAACTTTTAACTAATTTCAATCTTTTTTAAGGGGGGAAGTTTTGTGCAGTGAAAAATTCACAGAAAAGGCGCAATATCCTCTCTTTTTTTTTCAGTGATTAATACAAAAAATTAAATTGCCAGCTATGCTGGAGAATATCGTCCCTTTCTCCTCAATCAGTTTATAATGGTGATCTCAAACTTGCAGACTTGGCATTTAGCTTATCAATAGCACAACTTTGCTTTTATTTCAGAGTTCCCTGAAGAGAAGAGGCAGCAGAGAAATGCACAAAGAAAAAAAGGCATTTACCCAGGTATGGTTTTCAAGAACATGCAATTATGAGCAAAATCACATGATAAAATTCAAAATTTCTTTTTATGGATATTTATGGGACCGTCAGACACATTAACTAGAGTGCAAGTAGGCCTTACTCTACTGAGACCTTCCAGAGATAATGCAGAAGCAATTTAGGACACAAATTTGATCTCTAAACCATGCTGCTTCTCAGGTTTGTCGTATTTGTATCAGTAGATTAAGGCTGCAGGTTTTCTACAAGAAAAAATCACCTTGCCTCACAAAGTAATTGGATCATAGCTTAGGGACCAGCTAAATTTATATGTGGTGCCAAAGATTTTGTGCTAATGAACGTCTTGGCAGCAAATGCAGTTCTCCCATGGAAACAGCACCCGGTAACTTCTGGTGCCACAGCCCAGGGTTTTCTCCCTCCCGTGCAGTGAACAACACGTGGACATCAAATATCTGCCTCCCCTTGCACAGGTAGAGTCTAAGCTATCCACTTCACCTCCCTTCGGAGATTTTATCTCCCTGATTTTATTGAAATCCCATAGGCCGGACCATCACAGGAAAGCGGTCTGCCTGGTTTCCTCTGCTTTTTGTGCTGACAGTAGGGGCTGAAGCCTTTCCCAGCATCCATACCATTACTGTTTATAGACAGAGAGCCAGGGATAGGGTTTCGCTTTGCGGTGAAGGGAGCCAAGAGTAACATCATATCTTCATTAAAGCAAGGTTGAACCTCCTCTCCTCCAGCCTAATGCCAAGACTTACAGGTTTCCTCTGAGCTGATGGACTCTTAAAATCAATTGATTTGTGATAATAACCATAAGTCATTAGAACATGCTGCACTTAGTATGATCCCTGTGTGCAGCTGAAAGGGCGAGCGGGCAGGCAGAGGCTTGCTGCGGTGACGCCTGCGAGCTGTGTCCTGCTTACCTGGGATGCAGGCAGAGCCAGCGGCCCTGCGGAGTGGGCCCGCATGCAGCATCGTCAGCCTTTAAAAAGGGGCGCTCTGCTTTCCTTGTGCCTTGCCTGGTACAGAGACTTATTTAAATCATCAGTTAGATCAGAGACTTTGTTTTTCTATGGTCTTGGAAATACATTTATGAACTATATATACATGCACACATGCAAATTATAAATGAACATACATGAAGGCAGGATGTGTGCGCTGGGGTCTGTGGGCGGCACTGTCTTTCCCATTCTGGGAAACGCAGACAACTGCAGAGAGGATGAATTCCTTGGGCTTGCTTTCTCCTGCCAAATCCAGACATTAAAAGCAGCCATAGTTTGCCTTGGGAAGCCTTAAAAATGACTTAAGAAAATTAACCGAGTAGCTCAGAGCTGAGCCCTGGCACAGCTCTGCACCATGCGCAACAGGAGAAAGCGATCCCACAAACCACCCAGGGTAAAAAAGCATTTACACTGTAACTCAGACAAACGAAGGATTTGTGTTTGTAAATGAAAACCATTGAAGGGCAGCACTGGGCAGCTCTTGAATTTTCTTCAAAAATTCCTTAGGATAGGAAAGATTGAGAAACAACGTTATATATCAACATGTCCTAGCTGGTAGGTGTAGGTGCTGGCCAAGTCCCAGCTACGGGACATTGCCCAGAGCTTGTCCCCACAGCAGGGTGTTGGTTCAGAGCAAGGAGCTGATTGGGACCAGGGCGCCCCGTAGCAGGTGCCCAGCGTGGTCAAACAACCGCTGGGTTCTGGGTCACAAAGCGATGAGGACAGACTTAGCCAAGGATGTTCAAAATGCTGCTCTTTGGGACAGCCACCCTGAAGTGATTTAAATTCCTCAGCCGCGATGCCTAAAGCTGGATGCTAAATAACTTTGTAAATGAGGGCTTGACTTATTCAAGCCCACAGGATAAAACCTTTCCTCCTTTTTTTGTTTTTTTTTCTATCCCCATAAATGTTTTGTGAATGAAAGGTAACCACTAATTTAGATTCTAACAGTAAATCTGTGTCATCTGCATACGTCCAAATATTCCAAGAATATGGCAAGAGCAGTGTTTTTATTTACTGGGAGCTCATCATGAAAATTAGCTGGAACATCACATCCATTGCAGGGCACACTGAGTAAATACGTGTAAAATTGGTTGTGTTGAAAGTAATGTAAAAACAGAATTCTTAGTAGTGTCTATCCAGCTCTAGTATTATTGAAGAAAAAAGTTTTTATTCAGCAGAGTTGCAAAGTGGAGCTTCCTGGAAAATGCCAGGCACGAGGCAAAACACAGAGAAAAGTGGTTCTCCAGCGCAAGGTAGGAGTACTGGCATCCGCCAGGTGCTTGGGTGCTGGTGATACTGCTCCGTTGTCAGACTTGCAACCCCCAAACGCTTACCCATCTTCTGCCTGGCAGTACCCTCAAGCAGGTGGTGGTAGAGGAGATGGTGTTGGTCTCTATCTGTCTTTGTGTCTTCTTGCCAGAAGAGAAATATCATCTTTGGGAGTTTTTGATCAGCTCCTCATTCTCATCACATCCTTTACATTGCATAATTAATTAAGTTACCCTTTCATTTCTTTATGTCTACAGTCTACATTTGCCTGAATTAGACTGTAGGCTCTTTAGGGAGGGCACTATTTTTTTTTCTTTTTGCCTTTTTTCCATTAACATCCCTCTGAAGTGCTATGCAGAGCTGTGGTGCTATGGCATGCAAATACTCAGTATCAGTAATCATTAATTCCCATTTACCCTTAACGATCTCTTAAAGTCCATGACTAGCACCATTAAGGATAGAACATTTTTGCGCTATCGTTAGTTTTTCTCTTTCTGTATAGTCTGCCAATACATACACCTTTCAGGAAAGTGTCCCTGTACTGGATGTGAAATGCAATCGGGCTGTGCCAGAGCGCAGCTTTGGGCCCTTAGATCCCAGCCTCTTCTCCCTCCAGAGTGATGCAAAGACTGTATCCTCCATCTTTTTTTTTTCTTCCCTTTCTATTTGTGGTTTAACTAATAATGAATTATTTTCAGTTTCTGTGATTTTTCCCTTTCCTTAGTTTTCCTGATATTTTTAAGCCTCTACTGTCTATGTAGATGTCTTACTCTCTTGTTGTTTCTACTTGATTTCATCTGATCAAGAAAACACTGATATTTCTTGTACACAAAGTTTCAGAGGGATATATGCATGAAGGTTGGAGTCCTGCCCATCTGGCATGCTTAAGTGTTGCTGATAAATCTCTCCTGGCCATTCTTTTCCTTTGGAAAAGCTGTCAAGGGAATGGGCTTTTCAGTAGCCACGGTTCTCTGACAGAGAAGCAGGGAAGATCTCTAGCTTTCTCACCTTTCCAAAATAGAATCCGTATTGAGTAGGCGAGATTAACATTTGTCAGCTCTGTTGTTTTGTAAGAGGCTTGTGTTCGTTTAATGAAAAAAAATCTAATTTGTTTCAGCTTTTGAAAAAAGAAAAAAAAACTTACAAATGTGATCCTTTTTTTTTCCCCACAAAAACTAGCAAAAAAATGGTGCCATTATAAGAATAGTTAACTGCGCTGTTCTCCTGCTGTAATAACACCCTGACTGCCCAGAAGCACTGAGTTTGTATTATGCAGCGATGCTGGACAAAAGCATTTGGGGCCTGAGGCCGACTCCACTGAAGCCCTGCAGTTCTCTTCGAAAGCTGCCACGTGTGTTGCGTTGTCTTGAGTGTGCCCTAGTGACTGTTACCTCTATTGCTTGAAATCCAGCCGGCGTCAGGCCGGGAGCCTCCCGTGAGCAGTGGGGAGGAGGAGACCCCTGATGCTCACAGCCAAGGAGGAGGTGTGCGAGCAGGCTGTCCTTTGCAATGTGTGTGGGAATGCAACTGCCTGCAAAAAATAAGGTGCAAAAAATAAGGTGCAGTGACCCTGATTGCCGGGCTCTTGTAGCCAAAGGCAGACAACAAACACAATGAAGACTACTGGATTACAAAGACAGAATAAGGAAAATGTAAGATGCCACATTTTTTTTCTCCGAGCTGTTAGCAGATAAATAAAGGAACTGGAGTAATTGTCCCACCTGCGAGTTCTGATTTTCAGCACTGATCTAGGTTTAACTTCCTGGTATTCCGTGCATTTCCTTAAGAGTGAAACCTACAACAGTGGGGATAAACTAAGTCTTGATGATAGGAAAAACGGAGGTAGTGTATTGTGCAGCCCTGACCAAAGACGATGATTTAATCTTACAGCCTTATCCAGCCAAAGCAGCTGACCTTCAGAGTGACTTCAGTGGGAGCTGCATCCAGTTTTGCCAGGTTTTAATCAGCCAACTTAATTTACAGTTAATAAAGAGAAAAGCAACTTGCAAATGTATTTGCCTTCACAGTGTGAAAGGGGGGTGTGTGTATGTGAGAAAGAGATGGGGGGAAAAAGCCCATCTTATCAGGACTCTGACTGTTAGTGGGTTACGTGTATCTGGATTGTAGTTACAAAACTCGGATTACTGTTGCCAGAAACAGGAAGACCACAGTTTTAGTTACTCAGTTGATTGCAGTTGTGTTTGACTCAGGTACTCCTGGTTACCACTGAGATGACTGACAACCACCTATTAGCATATAGTTTCGTTACTGTTTACCTATTTCATGTTATTTTCATAAACAGATAACTTTTTTACTATTTAGTATTTTAAAGCCACAACCTGCTCCAAGCAAAATCAGTAGCAAAGCTGACTGAGTTCAGAAATATTCAACCAATTAATTCTCTGTCTGTTTAGGTATTATTAACTGAAATTAAGACATAATTGGTATATATTTAAATAGGATAGGGGGAGATTAATCTAGAGATAATATAAAAGACACCATTAGCAATGTTTAAGGATGTGTACTTTAGAAATTAAATCATTTCCTCAGACTGCTGAGCTTTAATTAGTTTTGTAAATCTTTTATTTTTAATACCCTGATCCGGGCAAACAATTAAAATCAGTCATGTTTTCTCCTGGATTTGGTTGCTGTTACTAGGAACTGTAACAAAATGGTGCTTGTGGAAGATAATGGTGCTACAGAGACTGAAATGAAGTTTCCATAGATAATTGCACATATGTCCACATGGCCTCACAACAATGATGAAATCTGCTGTCTCAAGAGATCATCTTTCAAAGACTGCCTTCCATTATACCGCTAATGCTGATAAATGTGTCTCTTACGAGGCCAAGTGCCTGTATCTCCATGACAATTCATGAAAGTGATTCATGCAAAGAAATTGTTCATCAGCTTAGAATTTACTTAACCTTGTCTCTTATGTCAGCACAATGCACACTGGAGTTTTCATTTCTGTGAGATGCAGTATTTCAGAGTTGCCAACAGCAAAAAAAAAAAAAAATCAAACTCTCTCAGTTAATAGGCTGGTGCTTATTGAAAAATTCAGATTTTCACATAGGATGGATTTGGATGTAACCGTAGTTTAAAGAATTTGTTTTCACCAGTCTCCCTTCTAAACAGTTGTCCTTTCCAGAATGAGAGATCATGTTCTTTTCCATCCAAATGATACCAGCAGCAGTAACAACAGCAGTGCTTCCTATCCCAATAGAAAGCGAGCTAGGCACTTTATCAAAAGTATCATTAAAAATAAATGAAAAAGAAAATGCAAACAAATCATGGCACCCTTTCATTTGAGTCATATGTATTTTCCCCAAAATTTGCTCAGTATCTGCGAAGAATAAAAGCCTTTGTGCTGGCACTCTTGCGCTCTTCCATCACTGAGCACTTGTACTGGCACACTGATTTCTTTTTTTTTTTTTAACTCTGATCAAGCTGCTTTGCCAACTTAACCAGGACCAAGCCATGAAATGTGTCACCTGAGTACTTGCACAGCTCTGTCTCTGTATTGTCTGCATAACAACAGATACAGCTCAGAGAGTGGGGAAGCAAAAATTTGAGAATGTTAACAGCTGACCATGCTTTTATTATAATGTAACTGTTTTTTGTTGTTGTGGGGGGATTATTCTTGGCAGGAGGACAGTGCTGACTTGAAGTGCCAGCTGCAATTTGCCAAAGAGGAAGCAGCGCTGATGCGTAAGAAGATGGCCAAACTGGGGAGAGAAAAGGATGAACTGGAACAGGAACTCCAGAAATATAAGTCCATCTATGGTGATGTGGACAGTCCCCTCCCAACTGGGGAGGCTGGGGGCCCGCCTAGCACCAGGGAGGCTGAGCTGAAGCTTCGCTTGAAACTGGTGGAAGAAGAAGCCAACATACTGGGCAGAAAAATAGTGGAACTGGAGGTGGAGAACAGGGGCATTAAAGCTGAGATGGAGGACATGAGGTGCCAGTATGAAAAGGAGTGTCTTAGCCGGGACCACATTTCAAGCATTCCTACCTCGCCGTACGGCGACTCTGTGGAGTCGGCCACAGAGCTGCGCCGTCACTTGCAGTTTGTGGAAGAAGAGGCAGAACTGTTGAGGCGGTCGATCTCGGAAATTGAGGATCATAATAAACAGCTAACGAACGAGCTGAGCAAATTCAAGTTTGAGCCAGGTCAGGAGCCCGGCTGGCTGGATGACACAGCTTCAAAGTGTGGCGGGCCCCTGCAAGAAGAGCTGAAATCAGCCAGGTTGCAAATCAATGAGCTGAGTGGGAAGGTGATGAAACTCCAGTATGAGAACAGGGTCTTGATGTCCAACGTGCAGCGTTACGACCTTGCCTCTCACCTGGGCCTGCGCACTTCCAGCCCCAGAGACAGCGATGCTGACAGCGATGCTGGGAAGAAAGAAAGCGACAGCGAAGAGGGTCGCCCTCCTCAGCCGAAGAGAGAGGGACCGATCGGGGGCGAAAGTGACTCAGAAGAAGTTTATGAGAAGACGTCGGGTTTCGGGAGTGGAAAACCGTCCGAAGTCAGTGACCTGTGCTCCACCGAGCTCTTGAGAGTGAAAGAGGACACGGAGTCTTTAGTTAATATCAAACGCGAGGCAGAGCGGCTTGAAAGGACCGTGGACCGCCTTATCACTGATACAGACAGTTTGATTTATGATGCAAAGGTGCATATAACTGGCAGCCCATCCACAGAGCAGGATTTCAAAAGCAATGAGGAAAGAGGAGAAGATAAACATGAACCGGAGCTCCTGGACACCATCAACTCCAGGATGAAAGCTTTCCGCAAGGAGCTGCAGGCCTTCCTGGAGAAGGTTGATCACGTTGGGGAGGGCCTTAAGGAGCAGATGGAGGACCTCTCTCCTCTTCCCCATCTCACAGAGTCTTCCAGTTTTCTATCCACAATGACGTCCATGTCTCGAGACTCTCCCATTGGTAATCTGGGAAAGGAGTTAATCACAGACTTCCAGGTAAGTCAGCCCTTCGTTTGCCTTCTTGCTGTTTATCGTTTCTCTTTCTTGCTGGCATTGCTACTTACTGTAGAGCTATTTTTCTTCACAACTGCTTTGTTATGATTTCAGATCTGCAATTTATTAAAATATGTAATGTTAAACAAGCACTTTATAGGTTTTTCTTTTGTTTGTTTGCACAACTCCTTTGATTCAGAGGCGGTTCCTCATGGCAAAAAGGCTAATCCACTGGTGCTGTAGAGATCTGTGTTCTTTTTGTTTCTAACAACAGCAGTGTTTCCCCATGAAAGAAGAGATTAATTAAAAAAATTTTTTTTTATAATGAAAGTAATTTAGCAGCCTTGCTGAGAAATGTGTAGAGGTCTTTACTGTGCTCTCTCTTAAAAGGGGTCAGGCGTGTTCTCAAAAGCCTTGCCAAAAGAACCCAACCAAAACAGTTTTCTAAGTGGTATGTTTTGAAAAGCCTGCTTACAGCTCACTCCCATAACCGAGCAGCGAGTGAGAAGCCCTGTAGCCAGCGAAGGACTGCCTTTCCTAAAGCGTTACCAATGGGCGCATGCCTAAGCTGCCACAACTGCCACACTGGATATGGCTTTTCTGCACAGCACAAGTAAGGAAGGAAGAGCCTTGTATCCCGTATCCTTCATGACTTGTATGCTTGCTGTTGGTTTGACTCATGCATCCTCATTGCATGCGCCCCATAACCAGAGTTTGCATTCTTTTTTCCTCTCTTTCTCTTTTTTGCTTTTCAGATGTTTCAGCCCATCATTTTGCTCATCCTCATTTTGGTTTTATTCTCTTCACTTTCTTATGCCACTGTATTTAAGTTGGTTTTTCTGTTCACGCTTTTCTTTGTCTTGTAGTTTTTCAGTCGTCTACCTTACCCATTTTTGTTTTCTTTATTCCCTCCTGTCCTTTTGTTTTTTGTTGTAAACCGCCCATGCACCTAACAGTCCAAACTGAGGGATCAGATGGAGTGGCAGCTCAAACGAGATCGTGGAGAGGAGCAAGAGATTCACCACCAGCGAGCCACCACCGACCCACACCGCAGAGCTGATGGAGACATTAAACTCTACAGGCCAGGAGACAAGGGCTGTTTCAGTCTAGAGGTCAGCAGAGCAGCCCATCGTACTCACTGCCTCCTGCTGCCGTAGCCAGGATGTGAGCAGTAGAAGCCAGGGGTTGGGGAAGTAAATTGGACAAAATGCAGCACCCCTGCTGTGAAATTCTGGTGACCTCCTTCCCCCCTGCAGTTTCCTAGGAGCCAAATGTGGTCCTGAGTTTGAACACATCACCCTGCTCCCAGTAGCCTTGCTTAGTGAAAAAATGTGGCTTAGGGACCACATACAATTAAATATAACAAGAAGAAATTTCTGGAAGAGGTTTCATTCCCTGGTATAACCTGTGTGACTCCAGATTTTACCTCGTCAGATTTTTTAAATCTGCAAAGTCTACAGATAGAGACCTCTCTCTGCTCTGCATTTTGCCTGGCAGTAGTCTGCGCAGGAGAGAATTTGATGCTGACATGCATGGTAATTCTCATCAGGAAGCATGGTACCCTGTAGCTTCCAAAAGATACCCATTTAAAGCGCAATCCTCCATTGCTATGGCTGCTGAATACTTTTTCGTTTGTCAAAAACATTGATCAATTTTTATTTAAACCTTCATCCAGGCAGAGGCCATATCAGCCTCTGTAAACATATCTTTAGCTGATTTCTCATGAAGATAGATTGTCCAGACACCACAACAGGTCCTGAAAAAAGCAAATTCTAGTGTGTCACCTGCAAAGGTGAGCTTAGTGCATTTAGAAACTTTTCTGCTGGCCACTGGCAAGCCAAATCCACCGTGAAACTCTAGTGGTTAGAGTAGCTTCTACTGGGGGCCAAGTTTAAATGTGTTTTTAATTCTAAAGACAGACACAGAGGCCTTAGTATATCTGAAATCACTACTATGGTCTGGAAAAAGAAGAATGCTGGCTGAAACAGCTGCATTTGTAATTAAGCAATAATATGCATTAGAAAGCAGGAGTAGGAAGAGAAACCTTTAGTGTAGCTGGTAGCCAAGCAGATAAATTCTGTATTGAATATGAGAGAGGGAGTGGCCCATCATCTTAACACAGGTAATTCCTTGCTAGTTTTGTTTCATTTGTTTTAAACTATCCTGACAGTACAGAGTTTTGGTGGCGTTAAAATAATTAATGTGTTCAGCAACTTCTCTTCCACCTTTTCACTTTTAGCAGCACTAATAAACTTCAGAAAGGATATCTGATATATCCAGGACACAGTAAGTCTCTCACTGAAAGGTAAAGTGTTTCTTCCTCACATGAAAAACAGGAATATGAGAAATCTCATAGAGAAATCTCTCAGTTCAGCATGGATCTTTTTGCAGTTGGACTGATCAATAATTACTGTAGATTAGGTCAGAAAATGACCAAAGCAGATGTTTACAGTATTTTTGTTTAAATGTTGTCGTCTTTATTAACTCCGTCTTACCTTAGATGAGCCTCTTTATTGTATTATGTCTTGTATTTATGAGCCCTCTGTTTATTAAGACAGGGGATTTGGGTAGTTTTGGCACAGCCTGTTTCTTTCCTCTTCCAAGATGGGATGATTTGTAAACTGTGTGCAGTAAATTGTGTTTAAACAGGAGTTGGACAGCTTTCACACCATAGCCTGACAGTGAACAAGCCAGTAATTATAACCAAAGGTAGACAGTATCCAGATGAGTTCCAGATGTGCTCAAAAAGTCAGCATGGATGGGGCTCATGGCCCAAACGGAGAAGATGTTTAAGATCTCTGTTTCAATCAGGTTTATGCAATCAGCAGAGCATATTACATTGCTTTACATTGAAACATTTCAGCGGGTAGGCAACCGTTTGAAAATGACACAATTAAGCCCAAGTGAAGCTGAAGATTCTTCCAAATAATTTTTTGTTATTTGTCTCATTCTTTTCTTTTTTAATTTCAAACATTGCACTAGCAAAAACTACCATTTTTTGTACCAGATGAATGAGCAGAAAAATATATTTTTCAAATTCCATAGGGTTCTTTTTCTTACCACAGAAATTTCAGATGAAAACTCGAGTCATTCCGTTCCCTCAGCAGAGATGGCTACAAGGAAGCTGTTATCTGCTTTAACTTATGAAGTGAAAATATTCACACTATCCAATATTGATGGATGTTCTTTTTACTGTGTAAGGACTTTCAGCGTGAGAAGAACATATTTCATTTCAGTTAGGCAAATGGTTTCTTTATAAGCCAGCAAACCCATTTTTCTAAGTCCATTTTCTTCCAAGCTGAATTTTAAATGAAAAGTTTCCCAAGCAATGCTTAGCAGTTTCCATTCAGCCATTTTTTTCCTATTTTTAAAATGAGCATCCCGGGAGCCTAATTGTTTGATTAAATACAATAAATGCAGACTGACTTGTGCTTGAAACTACCCTGTAGCCTAACTGTAAACATCTGCCTTTGTTTGGTCTTTGCACTGCAGTTGTTAGTGCAACAGTATTATTAGAATGTATTTGCATGTTAAAGAGGTGGGTTAGAGTCACAGTGCAAGGGAAATTATATCTTGAAATTGCCTTAAGAGCAGGGCTTTGTTTTCTTGCTGAAACAAGCCATTGAACTGCTGTTGCAGGAGGTTGGAGCCCGTTTGGGTGGATATTCAATACATTATTCATGATTTTAGCAGAGCGGGGTTAGGGAGGGAGGGAGAATTCGTTTTTTACTCTCCAAAGAAAAAGTGAGTGAGCAAGCAAGAACTGACATAACTAAAAGACGTGGAAGAACTAAAAAAGGTATCACAATGTTTTATGGAGCAAATGCCTGTCATGGATCAAAGGATTAGTATGGCAACAAGTGGAAACCAGTGGAAAACGGATAAATACATTTTCATCTGGTGAATTTTATCCTTTCTACCAATGGAATATCCATAAGCAAAAAGCAGCTTCCTTAAAGCAGGGATTTCTTCCTTAAAGAGGAATTTCTTCCTCTTTCTTCAGAGATAGTAGCCCTTCTGGAGAAGAAAGATTTTACTCTTTCACATGATCAAACACTGTTTGTTGCAGTATTTGATACCAGATGTTCTAAAATCTAGCTGCATTGCTTAGTTCTGGTTGTTCAGTCACAGGGTATTGCTTCTGTGCTTACCTGAATAAACATATGTCACCCGAGGCACATATGTTCATCCTTGCATTTCAAATTTGGATAATGTGATTATTTTCACACGCAGCTTTTAAACATTTTCACATTTATTTCTGTGTACAGAAATGCCACAAAATCTCCGTCACTCCCATGCTGTGGGAAGTGAACACGTAGGGATCAGTGAAGTAAATTAATGTATAAGGAGTAAGTTGTCACTAGAGAATTAAAATAAAAGGAGGTAGGTTAGGGAAGGTGAGAGCAATGTCTTAAAAATAAAATTTTCCATAAGATGTAGTAATAAGAAGGCAGCTAGAGCTGACACTAAAGAGTAATTTCTTCTAGACCATTCTATAATCTGTTTGTTCATTTTTCATACTTATTACGCCCATAACAAATGTAAAACAGCTCTATTACTGTAAATTAATTTCTGGGTTAAATGTGAACCAACCAGATACAGGGATGTGCAAGTTAGGTAAGTCACTTTATTACCTGCTTTGAATCTGTATCAAATCGTCTATATGGTTCAATTTTGGACACATCAGGTAAAGTTTGGTCTTTAGTCTGAATACTTTAGTTTAAGCTGGTTTTAGAGTGTCTGTGTTTCTTCTGTGCAATTTTCGTAATTCTATTTGAGAGCTTTTCAGCTGGATGGCTTTTGCAGCGGCTCCCAGCCATGTGCTGAAAATTTCCACATCCTTTTCTTTTGCATTGATTTAATATTTTCTCTTCCCAGAAAGGAAGCAGTGAATGTTTCATATATTGCGAGTTTCCTTAATTCTGAAAAAAAATGGACACCACGTAAAAAGTTGTATTTCTTAGTGTCCACTATGCCTCCAGTTCAAAACTGTGGGAAGAGGAAAGACAAACTGGTGCTGACAGTGTTCCTTCCCACCAAGATTAGAGGCAGCAAGAGTAATTTACTTTGATGAATCGTATTCTTTCTTGCTATGCAAGATTCCATAAAGGTTGACAATATAATGGCTTGAAAGACCCATTATGATGTAAATCCGGGTATCCAAGTTCTAACTGACTCAGTGGGATGCTGTATACTATCCATATAATGAGATGGACTTTTTTTTTCTTTTCTACTTGGAGTAAAGTGTTCTGTGTTTTCACAAAATCAGAGACTCTTCGTGTAAGCACAGACAAATAAACTCACTAGTGGTTGTGCCTGATGTGCACTGACAAATGGAACATACATCATCTGTTTTCTAAGGGAAGGAGAAGAGCACATCTTCAGAAGCAGCCTTTGAGAATTTAGCTGTATGTCTATCATATGTAAAAAGTAATACAAAAGGCATTGGAAGTTCCCATCAAACCTGATTCATCCTAAATTTGCAATAGTCAGCTGTCAAGTATAAGCAACTATAGCAGTTTTAGACTGTTAATATACAATATTAAAGTATTATAATGATGGCATTAGATGAGTGGTACAAAATGTTTAATTTTTCACTTCCCTGGAATTGCACACAGATGATGGAGACCATCTTTCTACCTTGCCTCCTCAGGCCTTGTTTTGCTCAATCCCTCTTGAAAAAAAGGCTAAAGACAGCGATTCTCTGAAATTTGATGTTCACAGTTCTAACATGTAGACTGATTAAGTTTCCAGGCAAATTGAGATTTAAATTAGCTATGCTAAAATGGAGAAAACAAACAAATAGAACGCAACCACGTCTTACAGTGCATGACGCTCATGCAAAATGCATCCTCACAGAAGTGTAGGATTCTGTGACAAGAAAAGTAACCTGAAGCCTTCAGCAGGCTGAGAGGGAGCAGAAAGGTGTTGGTGCAATAAGTAAAGTGTAGTGAAGCCCCACTGTGTGGATGACTTTTCACTGAATATACTCCTGAGGTAAAGACACCGGCGTGGATGAGCTTGTTGTGGAATGAAAACAGGTGAGAGGAAAAGGGCTCAGTACAAAGGTTTGTCGCTGGCCGACAAGAGTGGCAGTAGCTTTGGAAATGCAATAATCAGGATTCGTGGAAAACTTTCAGTCGTCACGCTGCAGATGAAGTGCAGTTGTTTCTGTAGCGTTGTGATGAGCTAGCCCTAGCCTGTAGTTCCCGTTGCGTTGTGTCTGCATGTCCTCCTGTAGTGAGTTTGTGTCTGTTCCTGTAGTGTTAGTATGTGGTGTGTTGGCCCTCACGTTCAGGGTATCCCGATGAATGAAGTATTTGTGCAGTGTTTTATGTTCCTGTTGCAGTGTGTTCATTAAGGAGAAAAAAGAAGACAAACCAAGAATGGTAGTTAACAGGATATCAGTTGTGTCAGTTTTGTAGCAGCACTGTTTGCCAGAAGAAAGCCACAGCTGTGCAACGGACTGCACCATGCTGATTGTATGTTAGGGGCCTGATTCCAAGTATGGACGCAGAGATGTGCATGAATGCAGCATCAGCTACCTCAACTGCATATGCAAATTCAATATGATAACTTTCTACATGTTCTTCATTTAAGATCCAGTCATTTAGCAATAATCTCTTAGGAGTGTAAGCAGCCTGATCTCCCTTGATTTGAATAGTACTAATTCCAATGCTTCTAGCAGAAATTATATTATATGAAATTATAGGCTATGAAGAGTCCTCAGGTTGGAAGGAAAAAGGTGTGCAGCTCTGCATTCATGCATCAACTGCTACTTTCTTCCATAAATAGACAAGGCAATGGTAAAAAAATTGCATTGTTTAAACTGGTTTTAATGCTGTATCTGCCTTGATGTTTTTAGTCTCTTGCTAGTAATTTCACAGTCCAAGCACCTGAGTTTCCTGAAACTTGGCTTTGCTTGGGCTGCAGATTTATCAAGAGAACTGCTTGAGAACATTATTTTCTTGTCCGAATTTCAGAGACATAATGCATTCTCAGTACACCTGTAACTATGTAACTCCATTTAATACCCCAGATTAATACTGGTCTACCTTAGAACAAGAGATCTAGCAAATCATTGTTCATTGGAAAATAGATGTGTGAAGTGAACAGTGAAAAACCCAGACCTTTTCTGCTATTTTTGCTGCTTTGATTCAGCTTCCAATTTCAGGAATCCCAAGACTAATATTGTTTCCAACTACATAAATGTGTAATAATATGACTGTGAAGAGAGTTTATATTAAGATCAGATATACTGCCTATATATTTTTAAATGACAATATATACATTTTTACATAAATTGTCCTATTTCCTTTTCTTGAGGCACATGAGATTAAGTTGTTCAGTTAAGTGTTGTAACTGTTTTCACCAGATAGACTTCGTGTGGTTCTGGCTAATTTTGAATTCATAAAGAAAGGAATGCACATTTTTAAATTACACTTGAATTAATTACATACATTAGTTCTTGCATACCATATTCTTAAGGAAGCCTGACCAGGATAAAAGAGTGCAGCAATTACTGATGAAAGTAGTTTCTCCTTTGTTGGATGAGAAAGCTAAGTTGATATACCTGAGCATGAACTATCTCTTGATTTACAAATGATTGTGCAAACTTGGCAAATCCCATTGTAAACCATTTTTTCTGATTACTTGAGAGACTGACTTTTGGCCTTGGTACAATAAAAAATGTCTACAGACACACTGATGCCCAAGACAAAGAGGCAAGACAGATGATGTGATAACTCACTCTTGGTCGCCTTCAGTGTACGTTTGAGAAGGCTAGAACTGTCACTTTTTCAGGTACAAAACAGACACATGCACAAGACAATGTGTGTGTGAAGTAAAGGGGCTTTTAGGGCCCAGAAAGTATACATACGATGGCTTTCACTGTTCAGGAGAGCACAGTCCTGTGCGTGGCCGAAGGGATGCGTCCATCTGCCGTATCTCCTTCGCCCTGGAGGAGGAGAGGAGCGTCTGTTCCAGTCACAAATACTTTCTGAATAGCCAAAAGTACCCCTGCAGGCCTGCCATGGCACCTGATTTTGCTCTCTGGCACAGGAGGAGCATGCAGGTGAAGGGGAAGGCACCATGGCTGGTGCCATAGGGGACATGGTGGGGCAGCCCGCGAGAGTGGTCCCATGACCTAAGTTAAATCCTCACAGCTGCTGAGGTTAGAGCGTGCTGGAGCTTGGCCAACAGAGAATTTGGGATTATGCACACTTTGAAGCCTGAAGTGTTGCCTTCTTTAAGTGCATCTTTACTCTGAGAAGTAACAGTTTGGTGCGGTAGCTTTTTCTGTTGTCACACTGCTGGTACATGTGAAGAGGAGAGAAGTCTGGCTGAGCATCACGTTTCCACAGACTAATCAATCTTAGCTTGAATGTAACAGAAGCAAAATGAAGGCCATAGAAAGTGCTGACCAGGAATGTAAATGCCACATGATTAATTAACATTATAAATGTTAATTATATTAAGTATAAATAATGAGGTCTGTGGCTTTGCCTTCTTGGGTCTTTATTTTTGAATTAAGTAACTTCCAGCAGGAAAATGTATGGGATGCCAAATCTATACAGAATGTAAAATTGAAAGTATTAAGTTTAAAATAGCGTGCACCTGGAAGAGGAGGTATTGGAAAGGTATAGTTAGATCTCAGGTGAGTCTGTAGGGTTGGCATTCCAAATTAAAACCTTTCTCAAGTACATTTGGTACAGATAGTTACTGAGATATGTTTCCACACGTAGCTTATCGCCATGACATTTGTAGAGTAATTGTTTTGAGCAGAAATTGCAGAATAAAGTTGACTTGTGCAGAGAGCTGTTCTGTATCTGAAGAAAGGGACTTTTTGTGCTTAGTTAGTTTAATAAATGCTATCCCATTAACTGTCTAGCCAGAAGTATTGCAAATGGATAAACAATTGGGTGCAATATACATACTTTAGATATACCTTCTGCAGATATAAAATTTTATAGCTTTGGTTGTCATAGAAAAATACACCACCAAATACAGAATCCTGTAAACAGGGGCTAATCTGGCAAACTTCATTCGTGGTGAGCAGTCTCAGCTACTCAAGTGCAATTCTAGAGCAGAGGCCTGAAGGGAATATGCAACATGTAACATGAGCATCATGACTTTAGTTTTCAGAAGAAGCCACACAGGAAATTCCCACACATATTTAGGGTATTGCTATGTATTTGCACATTGTGCTTTGGTTTGAATTGCTGATAACTGTGAGATGTGCAGATGTCTGTCCTGCCATTCTTTTTTCACACTATCGAGACCCACTTTCCGCTAAACCTATCCTTTGTCCTGCTGATCAGCTCAGGGATTCCCATGTTTTACCTGTACAGAGTGTATCGATACAGGAGCTTCAGGCTCAACTTGAGCTGGAGACGAGACTTCACCGAGAGGAGCAAGAAAAGTTTACAGAAAAGATCGTCCAGGTAAATACGTAACCCACCTGCTGGGAGAGACTCGTGGCCGTAACATGTCGACCATAATCTTATTTGTCAGAAATGTGGGAGCGCATGTCCTAAAAGCCCTGGCGTTTGCACTCATCTGAGTAAATGAAGAATCTGGAAATTAAGGAAATGAAAACTCAAACCAGTTCTGCCACTTTGAATCTGGCTTCTCTGTTCATTAGAGAGGAGCTTAGTCCTCCCCTAGGTGTAGACCATTTTAGAAAGAGGCCATTGCATTGGGATGTCAGGATAGCTCCTAACATTTTCAAACTGTGGCAGGGATTGTGCTGTGCAGGGAAAAATCAAGCGATAAGGGGTGTTTCCCACCAGACAGCCTCCAGTCTGAGTAAGACAGACCGATTCTCTGTGAACTCGGACTCTCTGTGAACTCGGAAAGAGCTGTGCTCTTTGGGAGCACGATTTTGACACTTCTGCCCCCTCCTAAACCAAAGATAATCCAACACTGCTCTGAAGTCAGAGGAGCTGTTACACTCTCGTGAGTGAGATGCAAATCAGGATCTTTTTGTATTTGTGAGTACCCCATGTTTCCATCCCTCTTGCTCATAATCAGTGAAAAAAAATCATATTCTGTTACATGGGATCCCCCAGCCTTTTTGAAGGCTGGAACATATTAGTCAATCGTTCTGGGATCTCTGGCTCCTACTGCAACAAAATCTGTTGCTAATTTTTGCAGGCTGTTTAGCGCTTTACTGAAGTTTTCTTTTTAAATTTACTTCGTAGACTAAATTCAGCATAATTGCTGTACGGTATAAAGCATTTATCCTTGTGCCAGCTAATCTCATTATGCCCAACTGGTATTACCCCATTTTCTATCATAAATAGCTTTAATTTTAAGTTGATCTCCATAGGAGCTTTCTCATGGAGGCTTTTGAAGGCAACCAGTAAATTGATTTCCTTCCTAGTTGCCCTGGCCATGAATGCTTTCTGGAAACTGTGCCTGCCTCTTAAAATTCTTTTCTTTTGCAATAGCTCTCCATTGAAAAAGCATGACACTCTATGAAGTTACCTCCACCAGGGTATTCTGCAAGAATTTGTGGCCACAGTGACTTAGATCGTAACAGCTTGTAAAACAATAAAAAACGCAGCGGAATCAAAGCTAACTATTCACACTTAAAACCAGTGGAAAAAGAAGAACAAAAGCATCTTCTGGATTCTTCATTTTTTCCAGATTGTGCCCATCCTGTTGATATTACTCCTTTTTTATCATCTTCCAGGATTTCTGGTGGAAATGACTCATAGATCTTTGCTGTATTTAACCATAAGTTCATTTAGTGGAAAAACCTGCATCAACACAAAATCTGTTTGTCTCCCCTGTAAACGATTAAATTTATAAGAACCCCCTTTTTTACTGTTTCACTTCTGGTGAGCTTCAATGACATTGAATTGATGCATGCTAGCAGTGTACCATCCCCATGAGTGTTATCAGAAGTTGTGCCTATATTTTTTGGGCCATTTTTGGGCTAATTTTGTTTCGGATTGCTTTAAGATGCATTGTAAACCCATTTAAGCAAGTAACTTTCGTAAATAATTCTGATTTAATCAGGAATATATTTACAGGTTTTTATACTTGCTTAAAGGATTATTCATTAACAAATTTTATTCTAAAAACCTTCCAGATTGTCTAGGTCAATGTTAAAGATGCATTAGCTCTTAAAGGCATGGTGACATATATGCTGAAACTTTGCATCACGCCAGAGCACATCATTTAAAGGCAGGAGAGTCATTAGCAAACTATCTAGCATGGAAGAGTAGGCTATCTCCTAAGCATCTGAATTTTGCTGTGAAAATCAAGCTAATATGTATTAGCAGTATTAATTGCTGGGGCTTCCTTCCCATGCTCCTGAAGAAGGATTTCTGAAGTATTCTTCATAACTTTGTGAATGTTGTTCATCACAGGGCATGTGCCAATGGTATAAGCTATTGTGGTCATTAATTTATTACGGCTTTCATAGATTTCATCTGTGGAGTTGGTAAGCAGAGATAGAGACTGTTCTTCTACATAAGTGAATAATGCAACAGAATGGAAAACAGTAGAAACTGGCATCTGTAAACAGTGGCTCTGTACTCCTTTTCCATGTGCCTTTTCTTCATCAGCACGAACCTCTGCTTGATTAAAGTGGAAATACAATATTCATGTAGAATATGAGATGTTGTGCAACTAACTTGTGTAAGGGTTACTGGACCAGAGTCATGCCATTATTTGGTTTTGACGTATTGAGAGAGAAGTCACATTTAAAGAATAATGTTTCGGGACGGCTTATGTAAAAACATCTTGTAATTATACTTGGGCTTCAAACTATGAGCTTTTCCTGGTGCTTCTTGTACTGAAACTCAGACATGGTGAATGCAGAGTTGCAGCCTATTGCTATCTCTTCAGTTCCTGCGTGCATCCCTTATCTAATAATATTAGAATGAGAAAGTGTTTATTGTGAGTTGTTCAGATGCCTCCGAGTATGGACTGTGAGAAACGAAGGTCCAGTAGTTGTGTCTGAGATACTGGATGTGGTTCCTTGGGAAGTGTTGCGCTTCCAGAAGGAGCGGGAGGAAGGGCTGAGCATGTGGCTGGGGAGGGAAGAGATGAGGGTAATACTCCTGGTTGTCTGAAGGGTAGTTGCGCTCCCACCTTTGTAACAATGGCTGGAAATGTGTTTAGCAGGTGTGTTATGTGCAGCAGTTTAGGCTGTGCTGAGAACACACTGCAGAGACAAAATCAAGAGAGGAAAGAAAGCATGAGGAGTGAAAAATGCTCAAATAGCATCAGAGTTCTCATGCATCTTTAAAGTAAATGAAAGGGCCACTTCCACAGCAGGTAACTCAGATATGATTATCTAAGCTAAGTTTATCAGCTGTGGTCCTCTGATTTCCTCAACAGTTAGAACCCTTGCCAAACTCAATAGCTGCAAATTACAGATTTCACTGCGTCTCCCCCAACTAAGTGCAAGTGCTGGAGACCCCCAGGACAGGACCCTGTTGACGTTGTGTCTGTCGTTCCATTAAAGCTGGAGGAGGAGCATATGCAGACCCTACGAAGGAAAGATTTGGAAGTGCAGAGCTTGACGTTGCAGAACAAACTGGAAGAGAAGGCCTGGAGCCAGGAGAAAAGCCTGCTGCAGCAAGAGCTCAGGCATTTCAAGCAGGACACCTTCCTCCTGTATATCAAGCTGAAGTGGCTGCTGAAACACTGGCGGCAAGGCAAGCGAATGGAGGAGGAAGGGGAGGACATGTTAGAGGTAATTGGCCCACCTCATTACCCCAATGAAATTGCAGGAAGCAAGGGGTTTCTAGCACTGCCACCAGCCATGTAGGTAGTGAGATGTCCCTTCTTTAAGGGCAACTTTAAATATGATGTCACATCAGCAACTTTATAATCATACATGGGTTTAAAAAGGATAAAAATAAAATATGAAGCCTTTTTTTAGGTTAGCTTATGCTAAGGGATATTCTGCATGGTATCTTTATGCTACAGATCACTTCTCTTTGAATCTAAACCCTTAGCTAGTACAAACATCTGGTTCTGAAGAATCCTCTCATAGTAAATGAAAATTTAATTAGGTCTCTAAGATATGACTCCTGAGTAATTTTTGGAAAGAAAAATGCGTTAGTGAGCTGGTGGAGTCAAATCTGTTTAGGCGAGTTGAGTGCTGTCGTTTTTCTCCAGTGAGAGTACAACGTGTTCCCTATAAAGCCTTCAGCAATATAGATGGAGGGAAGCTCTGTTTTCGTGTTGGCGGGAGAATTACACAGCTTCTTGTGAGAACTTACAGTGATTCATTCTTGTTTGTTCTTTTTCTGCACACACACGTCTATCACCGTCAGCAGCACTATGCCAGTAGTCATCATGGTGATTTTCCAAGCAGCAACTACATTAAGATCAGGAATTTCATAAGTACATAGCAGCCTGGAATCTCCAAGCTGGCACATCTTAACAGGGATATGATTTCCAGAAGTGCCCTGTGAAAGAAGGTGCTGCTACACTGTGTCAAGCTCCACATCCAGAATTACCAGTTGCTTTGGAAATCTTACCTAACGAAAGTTTAGGTAGAAAAATCTATTTGCCAGTTCTGGCATTTTGCCCAAAATTCTTGGGAAGGATAGATGTATCCTTGCAGGTTCATGCAATTCTGAAATTGTGCTAAAACACCTAAGTAATTTTTTCCAGTATTCCTGATATTTATGTGCCTACTGTCTTTCAATGTTTGCTGCATTTGGCAGAACAAGTAACCTTTCAGGTCTGGTAGGAGTATGCTTAGGTAGAATACTACAATGTTGTATATGCCAAATAGAGGGTGGAAGAACATCTTTATCAGCTGTGGCAATATGAGTCAGAAACAAGAGATGAATAGCTGTTTAGAAATAATTTGTTTCTGCTTTACTTCAGCAGTACTAATTTGCTCCTGCATATACTAATTCATTTTCTAATATCAAAATAGCTTTCATTTTCCACTATTTGGATTTTTTTGACTGGTTAATTTACAGTCAGTGTATCTCCTGTCATTATTGGTGTCATGAGTTTTTGTTAATTCAGTAGAAAGAATGAAGTGATGGATTTGGGCACTTTCTGGTCTCCATATCCTTATCATACAATACCAGCAGTGTCTCATAGTTTTTCATTAATGCATGATGGATTGTAACCATCATGGTGCGTGGTGATCGTACATCCATCCCCTCAACTGCATAGCTACCACAGTTAGATCCCCTGTTTTGCAGACCTGCACAGCATTGTGTTCTCATATGCAACATGTCAGATGGTATCACTCAATGGTCATATGAAAGACTGTTCCCAGTAGCCTACAGAATAGAAAGCACTGCCAGAAAACCTCAGGAGAAAATAGTCCTTTCCCTTAGTCCTTCAGTAGATTTCTAATTCCCTATGGTAAATGCAGGAAGACTATTGATATGTCCCATCTTGTGCATTTTAGATTGAGCATCTTGAGGCCCTTCCCGAATTTGGCCTTCCGTCTGAGCAAAAGGTGGAGGATGCAGAGCAAGAAGAGGAGGAAGAGGATGTTGTTTTTGCACTGACAGATTATTCTCAGCGTCCCACCGCGGAGAGCACTGATCACAGACCACAGCTGCAGACTGCAGAATTACTGCAGCAGCAGAAGCAGGTACCGTACCAGAAGGCACTTGTATATCATGTCCTGGGAATGGAAAACGTGGATTTTGTAAGGGATGCATTTTCTTCTGCTGCTGTGTTAAATCACCTGGAATCATGCTCATAACAACAGTTCTAGCTACACAGCAATTACAATGGATTTCATCCATTAGATTTATATTTAATCAGGAGCCACGTGAGTACTGTTCTCCTGTTGGCAGATACTGTCAGTGAAAAATCCTATTTCCTCTTGTGGCCATTTGCCCAGAAACATCTATCAGTATGTGATGGTTTGCAGAATTTACATACTTCTCTTGCCTGTGCATATCTGTTGTATTCTACTGTCAAGCTTTTAGCAAGAAGAGGTAATTTTACTTCCTTTAAATAATTTAAGAAACTGGCACATGTACTTAATTATTCCCTTAGAGATGATGGGAAAACAATGCCAAAGTTCCTTCCTGTTGCTGGACCTTGTTTTTAAATTCCTAAAAGAATTCGTACTGACTTTTCCCTAACGTCTCCTCCGCCCTGCCTCTATGTGTCGGAGCAATGTGCAGAGAATTTAACATTCAGCATGCAATAAAAGCAAGCAAATCAGAAGTTTGATTTCACCACCAGACGACTTACATATTTTCAAAGGCTACAAAAACTCAGTATGGTAAAGTTTAATACAAAACAGTATGAAACTAACAGGTCAGACTGAAACAAATTGAAGTATTATCCTTTTTTTTTTAGTTTCTATCATTTGTACACAAGTACATTTGTACTCTGAGTAATATCAAGAATCCACTAACATGAAATATGGTACTGATCACTGCCACATGTCCTCACACTGAATTTTTCAATGCTTTTGCATTGCTTTATGCATTGAATATGCCAGCAATCCTAAAAATAATGATAATAACAAACATTCAAAGGGGACAAGGTTAAGGCTTCTAACATAATTTTTCAGGTGCATCTTCTTATATTTTTAAAATTGAAAATATTCAGATAACAGCACCCCTTTATATGGAATTATTTGCAATTGGAGGTAGAAAGCAGCAAAAAATCTAGGTAAAACACATATCCAGTGAAAAATTTCTTGTAGCCTTATGCCTTATGGACAGTCTCTGTCCAGACCCCTGTCTTGGAGCCCCCTCTATAGCAAAAGCTCTCAGACAAATACGTGCTCTCTACAACGGCATTACGCTGCTGGACTCACTGCAGGCTCTGGGAATAGCGGGTGTGTCTGCATTTCCGTTCTTCTCCTCGAGCTCTTTTTGAATTCCCCAAATTCTCAGGACTAGGGATTGTCTGTGTGCGTATCGTCCATGCGGTCTAGTAGATCCACTGTAGGCAACAGGAAGTCTCCACCCTATAGTAAAGTCTCCATCCTAAAGCTGGGAGTTACACAGAGGCTCTCTTGCAACCTACCTCTCTAGTTCAAGGTGCAACTTCAGTTATAATTTGTGTATGAGTGCAAAATAGTAGAGAAAGAAGAGCAGTCTGTATGCCACTTCATATTCCACTTTCAGCTCGTGTTTCCTTTTTAATAATACTAGCTCTTTTGCTTTCCTTTTTAATAATACTAGCTGACAACTCCATCTCTAGCTATGTTTTCATATGGAGTGCGCTAGAAAGGTAGTATTCATTTGATCAATTTAGCATTTGGAAAGGGTCTAGTGTTACTAATCCTGGGGGAGGTCTGACACTTTTGTTTTCAGGAACATACTTTACCAATCCCAGACCCATCACCATTGTCTTCTCAGCAAGCTTTTCTCTGGTAGAGGCAGAAGGCGGCTGTGGAAGAGATGCTCCTGAGCATTTCATTTTGCTGCATTCAGTCTGTAGACCGATTTAATCTAAAATGAGTACAATAAATATAAACCAATATATCATCTCTGTACAACCTCTGTCCTATGCTAACTTTCCATATATATCCTTTAAAATGACCTAGAACATGCAAATAAAATATGTCTTCTTAGAAATAACCATTGCTTGGAGATTAATCTCAATTAAAGTGGCAACAATGGTAAGCAGAATTGCATGTAATTCTTTTTTATAAACATTGCATGATGTTCTAATGCAATATTTCCAGCTAGTCTCTCTTAAAGAAATGAGCCATAGGAACAGACTCCTGTTGATAGAGCAAATATTTCTGTTAAATAGTGCATGACACCCAAATGGATTTGTGAAGGTAAAATAGGTTTCCTGCCTTCCAACCAGGAAAAAAAAGTGTTATTTCAACACAGCAAGAGTGAGCAAGTTTGCTAAATATTTCTCATTTCAAGCATTGTTACTTGTTTCACCCGCTCACTCTGTGTTACAATGCCCTGAATCTTCCAACAAGTGCTATGTTTATTGACAGGCATGTAGCTGAAGTAGTTGAAGAGGGTTTTCGGTGCTACTGGGCTTGTAGTTGTTAATGGGAAGGAAGGATTATCATACTCTTTGACATAGAAATAGGAACCCTGAGTGTAGGTTAATTCTGATCCTGTGGTAAATTCAGGGCATCCAAAGTGTCTTCTGCAGGCCTATGCCAGAGAGGTGGATTGAAGTAGGCTCAGGACTCTGCCAGAGCCAGGCTCTGACCTCCAGCACCTTAGTATGGTTCTCACTAAGGTCACAGAAACTGGTCCTTGCTCTACGCACATTAGAGACTTTCTCCTATAAACCTCAGCTCTGCTTCATTCACATACAGTCCCGAAAACACACTAGTTAATGCATCCATTAACTGAACAAAACTAGAGCAAAATAAAACTGCTTGCTTGTGAAATCCCAGCTCTAAAAGTACTGTGAACATCAGCAGACCCAAAGCACATCCTTCCTGAAGTGATGGATCTCAGCAGTATTCACCTCCCTCTATACTACTGACAGGTCAGACTGTGCCAAAAACCACTCAGAATCTTTGGGGTCTTCTGCAGGTTCCTTAAGCTCTCAGTCGGAAATAAAAACTGTGTATGTGGGGAATTTCAGGTGAGTGGTGTAGCTGGGAGAGGTCTCCCAGTACCGCACCTGCCCAGGAGAGCCCAGAGTTGCTGTTTCTGCCGGGCAAGCTCCAAGATGAAGTGCGTAAGCACTTAAAAGTGTTTAAGCTTCGTTTCACATTAGGAAGGAAAATTTGTGATGGTCTAAAAGTGACTGAAATAACTAGGTCAGAAAAAAAGGAATGACTTGCTGTAACTCAAAGTAACCCACATTTATTTTTAATATTTAATGGTCTGGCTTGTATTTTTTAACACTGACCCTTGGCTGATAACCAGGGAGCATGGCAGAAAAGGCTGGGCAAGGCAGTGGCAAGGTTTAAGAGCCAAGAAGAAAGGCCGGTCACAGGCAGGAGACAAGCAGGCAAGTCAGGCTGGTGGCGCAGTAGAGGAGGGCTTGCTGTAAGTGAACAGTTGCACATGTGCGTGGACACAGCAGGGAGAACTGCCTGCGGAGAAAGGAAGTGCTTTGGTTTGGTTGAGTAGAAAGGGTGAAATGCCTGTTGGGTGGTGTAGGACCAGGGGAGTAAAAAGAAAGGAGTTGACATATCCACTGTCCAATAGAAAAAGCATTAAGAACCTATACACTCATGTGTCATGCTGTGGGAGGTGAGTGGTTTTTTTTTTTTTTTTGCTCATATATTTGTTTTCAAAGCTTAGCTTAATAGAAAGCCTAAAGGAATAATAATTAAGGCCTAAATATACTAAAATGATCTGCACAAATACCCAGCTTCACTTTTTCCTAGATCTGTGACTACAGAGAGAAAACACACATTAAAAAAGAATTTTTGCTATTTAGGCTCTTGACCTTGTGTCTTTAGTTCACTACTCTACTAAACTGCTTGTAATCCCAGACTGTGGCTAGCTTGTTAAATGACATTCTCAAAGAAAAGAAAAATTGCGATTAAAAGCAGAACCAAGCTTCAAACAGTTGCTGTGGTCCCAAATACTTCCAGAGCTGGAGGCTCACATCTCTGGGGTTTTACTGTGAAAAGACTCTGAAGTCCTGGAATTTAATTGAGCTTTGCTACGTTAAATTTTTACTTGTTGTCAGCTGTTGTTTCATTTGCCTGTAGAGCCTGACATGTGGGTGCAACGAGACTTTAAACTGCTTTTTCAGTTCTCTTGTCTTAGATCAGTTGTGAGTCAATCAGGTTCCTCTGTGCCCTAAATTATAGTGACAGGTAAGGTACTAAAGAGACAGCTACTTACATGGGGGACTGTTCAGGGAGTCAGAGCCATGCCCCATTTCTTTTGCCTGTGTTCAGTAAAACATCCCGGGGAGGAGTAGGAAGACCATAACAATCATTGTTTTGTACCTATGGGACTTACTCTTATGCAGAAGCTATTAGACAGTTTCACCAGCAGAACACTAAAAAATTTCTAAATGTAAGCGTTGTATTTCCAAGAGCATTGTCTCAAAAGTACCAGGTCTGTTCTCTAAAAATACTCCAGTTTGGCAAAACAGAAAAATAATCCCACAGACCTCTCCAACTTCAGACTGTGAATACAAAGTCATGGAAAAGGGACTTCTTTGCAGGAGTTAGAAGAATGTAACGAAACTTGTATTTATATTGGCAAGTTAATTAAAATCCCAGCAAGCCCGAGGGGAGTACCTGGGATACTTGTCTCATACAGTGACATTGGTGTAACATGTCCAGAGATAAGATATGCCCTCACCCCAGCAGGCTGCAAACCTACAGTGAGGTTCTCTTGGCTTCTCTCTGTACCAGTTGATCGCTTCTTTCTTCACAAAGCCTAATATTACAGCTAAAGCTGAAAAAATGCATACACAGGAATGAGGAAGCTATGGAGGGGGGAATTCGCTTGCTTTTATTTCATTTGGTTTTATTTCTGCCTCTTTTCCCTTGTGGAGCCTGTTGATTACTTTGCCAGAGAAAGAGTTTGATGCAGGATACCAGAAAACACAGAATGCACCTCTTGAATAAAAGCACTCCATAGACACTTGGAGTCAAGGTTTTCCAAAGGGAGTGAGGCCAGATTTTGAAGCACTCAGCACCCAGCAGCTCCCCTTGTGACAATAAGGACAAATCTTCAAAAGAGACCTTGCTCTAATTACTACGCAAGGGACTTGTTTGGAGAATCCAGCCTTAGTTGGGCAGCAGAATGAAAATTCACGGTGGAAACATATAAAATCTCATCACATATTGAAAAGCAGGTGATCGTATGCGCATAATGGAGAATGCTGCTGCACAGTAGGTTACTGCTAATTGGCATTAAATGTTAATGGAGTTAATTCTGCTTCCGTGGGTGTGTTTCTTATACAACCTCACATTGCACACCGTCACATTTCATTAGCCCAAAGAGATTACAGGTCAGTCAATGAGCACCTGCAGTCATTTACCTATGTGTCTAGCATTTTTTGGCTGATGAACCAAATGGGTTGGAAAAAGTAGGCCACGCTGGTTTGTTTTTTTCCAAGAAAGAGGTGCAACGGCATGTCTGACTAATGATTACAAAAGTTGGTGAGGTGGGTTCAGTGATGCCAAAGATCTGACGTGCACATGGAGTCAGCTAAGCTGTCTGTGCAAAATTCTGCATTTATTGTCATTGAAAACAGCACAAGGAAGTATCCTTGGTGTACACCTTAATTAGCCCAACACCAAATAATTAATTTTTTAGAGCTCTAAATTCTGTGATTCCTTGAGTCTTGAGTCACAGAACTGAAGTCTGAAGGATCAGATATTGAGTCCCTGCTTCAGAGGTACTTAGGGGGCGCACTGGGGGGCAGCCCTCCTGGACGCAGCTTTCCTGTGGGGGACGCTCTGTTGTTTTGGCCATTTTCCTGGTACCTTGCAGTTCCCAATGGCAGTACTGATATACCACCATACGTGTCTGTCCAGCAGAGCTGAGCATAATACACTGAGCAGATCTCAGGAAAAGTCAGGAAACCATGGTGCTGTAACTTGTCCTAGATAAGTAAATTTAGTGGCTCTGTGAATTTACGGTGTGTTGCCTGTGTGTTGGGAAAATACCCTGAGCCTTCAGGGATCATTAAGAAATTTTTAACTAGCCCCTAAAGAAAGCATAATAAGATATAAAGAGCATAGCATGTCTGGCTTGCTCTCCTAATTTTTACATTTAATTTGGAATTAGGCTACAGAATAAATTATTCTTACTGGCCTCGCGGGGAACTATCCAAATCTCCTTTTCTGAACAGTCTTGAATTTGAGGGAATTTCACATCCATCAACTTAAGTTTTTATAGTGAGGCAAATCAGGACACCTTGACTTTGTCAAGTTCTAAATATATATCTGAACTTGTCTCTCTGAGTCCTTTTTCCCTTGTTTACTTGTTTGTGTACCTCTGTTTACTTGACCTAGCTATAAAGAAGTCTCCCCTTAGCTGCTTCATGAAACACCGGATAAGAGGAATTGCAGGAAACCTCCACTTGAAAAGATGAATGAAAAATAGAAAGAATTAGACTATCATGCAAGAATCAAGCCAGATAATTTGAGTTAGGCCTTCCCAAGAAAGCTAGCATATTTATGAGAGTCAAGTGATTAAATGCTGAATTTGTTTAGTAAGTCTTCCCACTTTTTCTGATCATGCTGTGCCTGGTAATCAATAATAATTTTCCTAAATCTTTTCTATTCAAAATAAAATTTATCAGATACAATCTCTAGCTAGAGATACAATCTCTAGCTACTCCCGCTCTCCTTTGAGAGGCTCATTGAGAATATTTGATTGAGGTTTTGGATAAATAAACCATGTTGCACGGTTCTGTTTCCTAATTCAAGGACTTCAAAAAAGGTAGGAGGGAACTTTTTGTTTGTGTGTTGATACCACATGAACTTTTTAAAAATGTTCTTCAGTATTTAACATAAAAATGACAGATTTTGCAAGTCTCTAGAGAGTTTGAAGGAAGTAAATGCCAAAACTAAGAAAAAGCATTAGTGATTTAAGTAAGTGTACATACATGTCTGTCAGTACTTGCAAAGATCTGATGGCAGCTGTGGGCTAAACTTCTCATTTGACTCCTTTCTTGACTTCTGGTTAGCACAGTGGACATTTTAAATATGACCACAGCATTCTCAACAAGATGTTGGTGGGGATTTGCTCTTTGATCGTATTCTGTAAGAGGGAAAGTACCTTACCTGGCATTTTGAATTTGGTACTAAACTGGATGCTGCTGCAAAGCTAGTCTGTGAGGCGCTGCACAGGACTGAGGAGAAACGTAAAGCCCAGTCTGATGAAATCCTTTAGCAGAGATACTCAGCTCAAAATTTCAAATGTTTTCCAGAGTAACTTTGTCAAAGCATTGAAAATGAATCCTTTTTCTTCATAAATACTTCACACGTTTGAGGTTTGATGCTGAGCAACGACTGTATGAGATTTACAGCTACCTGACAGACTTTATACTCTAGCTTTGGATTAGAGTATTAAAAGGGAAGTTATTACAGATGGCCTCAATCCAGAAAGATGCTTAGTGTTTTCTTCAGTGTGCTTTAAGTAGCCTTGGCTTCTATGGGTGCTTCGGAACTAGGACTAGCAAGAGAGAGTGGACACAGAAGATACTGCTATTTTTAGTTTTCCCATGTGAAACTTAACCCAGGCACTTTCTTTTCCGTGCAATGGACATGTGGGTATTTTTCCTCCTAAAAATGAAGTTGGAAGCTAAAGTTATTACAGTTGCAACGTTTATTTTTCTTTGTTCTGGCAGGCAAGTGAAAATCGGAAACTCTTAAATGCTCTGAAGGGCTTGCTGGATGACTTCCGCTCGGAGCTGCGGGACGACGAGCGGGAGCGTCATGGGCTCCAGCAGCAGTACGCGCTGGACAAGGCGGCATGGGAGGTGGAAATGACTGAACTGAAGTGCCACCTAGAGCAGGTAGTGTCCCCAGCGCCTGATACCGGTAAAGAATGGCTGAGTCACTTAATGGAATAGGAAAATCTATTGCAGTCAGGTAAACTACTATATTTATCCATTTTAGCCTGGCTTCTGAAAGCCTCCCTGATGCCTGAGCAATGCTTTGCTCTTTGAGTACCTCTTAGATTTCAGTTGCCCCACTACAAGTATTCGTGGAGCAGGTACTATATAATATACATCAGGACAAAGGAACTGAACCTCTTCTAGTTTTATTTCATCATAAAAGTTGCCTGGTAATGTATCAACTGCGATAATGAGACATGCGGCTGTCTGTATTCATTAGCATTTACAGCAGAGAAAATGTCTTGATGCTGGCATGTTCACAATTAGCTCATCACTGTGCCTTGGCACATAAGAACTGCAGTATTTGATGTATAGGAGAGAAACAAGTAATTTAATGATACTGAAGCACCAGATCAGTATGTACTATTAAACCACGCAGTCAAGGTTGCTGGTTGGTGATGGATGGTACGCCACTGAAGAGAAAGCTCTAGCTACCAGCCATAAGTTACTATTAGAAACGTATATATAAAATCTGGCGCCAGGTGCTGCAGTGTTGTGAACTGCCATTCACAGAAAACGTGCTGTTTCTGAGGCAATATGAAAACAAACCAGCAGAAAACCACATGGATTCGTTTCCAAAGCTGATGGCATAAAAGCTTTAGTTTACCGCATTGAAGAGGGGAGGAGCAGGAGAATTAATATGTTCGGATCCTGTAGAAAAGATTCATAATTGCAGAGCATCTCTGCAAAAGATAAATATAATAATAATATTCGCTGCTGAGATAATGGTACATTTAGGAGGATTTACAGAACATCAGAGCACTGCCAGGAGACTCACGAAGCTTTAATTTTAGCAGAATTTTCTCTCAGTGGATTCAGATTCTCAATTCAGATCAATAGCTTCTTAGTGCACGCAAATTTCCAGACAACAAATCACTTGAAAAAGAAAATAAAAGCAATCGCCATTTTCACTCCTTGCAAAATAAAACCTGGATAACAGTTTTTCCTTAACCTAGACATGGGAACAAAGAACAGAACGTAGAGAATGATAGTTTGAGAAATCTGCCAATTTAGAGCTTGCATGCTTTAGGTTTGTATGGGCGATACGCTCCCAGGCTGCCACTTTGGTTGGTGTTTGGCAAGTGCTCCCATACCTGCCCCCGGGAGAAGAGAGATCTGCCTCCTTCCTTCTGGTGCTTTTGTCAGGCTCTTTTCACCATCTCTACGGTTGTGCAGTTCTGCTGGTAATACTTTGTCATACATGGTAATTGCTGAGTGGTGGATGTTACTTTTTCTATTTCATGAAGCAAATGAAGAGAATAAAACACCAATATTTAAGACCTGAAACTGACTTCCTTAGCAGATTCCCAAAAATAGATTTGTATTTCACAGTAAAAACATGTGCCTAATGAGGCAGCAAAAAGATACCTTATAAATCATTAGACCATCAAATAGGATAGTGCAACCATTGCGAGTGTCCCACTGGTTTACAAGTATTAATTTACAATTACAAAGCAGCAACGTAAAAACAAAATATGGTATAAAATTAAAATAGAAAATAGAAATATTATAAATGTGAAATATGAATTAACAAAACCTAGCATTAGCGATTCAAAATACAGGGCGTTTTTGTTATAGGTTCAATTTCAGAATCAATATGGGAGAAGCTAGTGAACGACGTGTGAAACATCAGCGTTACCTATAGTCATGTTAACAGCCTTTGCTGTTCTGTGCCAACGTGTGGGATAACAACAACCTGAAATAGCCCAGTGTGTCATGTTGGAGTGGGCAGAGGACCTCTTGCGATGCTAGTTTGTTTGGCAGCAAGAGAGCAGTGCCTCCCTGGGGCAGAAGAGAGCTGCCCAACCCCTGACAAGCCCGTAGAGAATCGAGGCCTTCCTAATCTCCACCACTGTCTTCACTACTGCTGTTTGCCGGTTTTTCTGTGAAGCAGGAGGTCAATTAGAGCGTTTTCCTTGAGAGAGTCACCTCCTACTTAATGGCTACTGACAACGGTTTTATGTTTTGATGCTGGAACTCTCTATGTAGGAAAGAAAGAAAGAAGAGGAAAGAAGAAAACTCTTCTGCTAAAAAAGCACTGCATATCTGAGAAGATCATATACTGTTGCCTGCTGCTTTGGAGCTTTAGGATTTAACACAGTGTATATCATTAAAAAGAAAAATCTTGGCTGTCAGAAGTGCATATACATCTGCTCTGGCAGAAGGATCCTAAGGCATTGTTTTTAAGATAAGAAATAATGAGATTGTTCCTAACTATGGGATTCTGATGACTCTCAGCCAGTAAAGAATCCCAGTAATACTTAGCCTCCAGCTGGGCAAGTGAAAAATCCCACTGTTTTTGGGAAGGGGGGAGAGAGGCATGTCTTGTTGAGGTTCAATTTGTTTTGTATTTTTTTTAGATTCAAAAAAAAAAGGGAAGAAGGAATTTGCTTTATAAGATAATTATACAAGTTGTAGATATTGCAACAGAACATTTTTTGCTTTGTAGGTTGATTTTCATTTTTGTAGGATATTTTCATGCTTCAGGGCAGGTCAAGAATTTATTGCAGGCATTGGCATATCTTTGCAACTTAACGTGTTAGCCATAGCTACTACTGCAAATGGCATTATTCCCCAGGAGACAGTAAAAGTGTAAGATTGAGTCTGCACTCCAGATGCTCCAGCAGCCTCTGCTAAGAGCTCCTATTGCAAGACGGGAAGTCTGCAGCAGCATTAATGCTCCTTGAAAGATGACTTGCCTATATTGCAAGGCAAGCCTATATTGCAAAGAACAAGTCTTAAATAATCCTCTGTCAGGCTAAGGTGTAAGGAAACTGTATAGTTTACTTCATTTTAGAGTCCCTTACGCTTGGGCTGATCTCAGCTCTGCAGTGACACTCTTGGTATAGATAATTATTTAGTGTTACAGCTACTTAGTAAAACCAGCAGACACCTGCAAGGGTGACCCGGCAGGACTACAGAATAGTAAACTCAAAGCAAGCAAACCCGAAAGAATGAGTGCCAGCATTGCTGAGCCTGGCTGCAGCAACAACTGTGACTCCAGCAGCACCATAAACTAGGGAAGTGGGGAACTGTGGATGCATAGAAAGAAGATGTATCAAAAAGAGCAGGAGGCCATTATCTTCAGTTAGCAATGAGTTTGGAAACTGGCAGCGGTTATTGTTGAGCTGAAGCGTGGGCAGGCTGTGAGCTGGGGTAGCGGGCAGGAGGACAGCAAAGCTTGATGGCTTCTTGAGCAGCCACACTCAGGGGCAGTGTCTCCAGGAATGGACCTGCAGCAGAGAGGGGCCTCTGCTGGGGCGTGCTGCCCCAGCAGCTGAGGACAACACCGTGGGCGCCCAACCGAGCCATGCAGTCACACACAGGACAGCCTCACATGCACGGCTGTGAGTATGGGGAGCGGGGAGAGATTCAGGCCCCAGGAACAACCTCTAGGGAAGCAAAGTTCACTGAGGAATGTTAAACACAAAGACACCACATCTGGCTCTGAAAGTCTGAGCCAGTCCGGACTTTCTTGGTTTTGTGTTTCTTATGTGCAAGTGGATTTTATCCCATAATACAAGATAGGTAATCGTTACCCTTGCCTTACAGAGAAGGAATGTAGAAATAGGGTATATTGCATTACTCCCTAAGGCCTAGTGGGAGTTGCAGTTGTTGGGCAGCAAAGTCATTTTGGGACTCCTCATGGTGGTCCCCAGGCTTCCATCTGTCTGGCTGACGGCACCCACTTAAACTCGACTACCGCTCAGTCAGTGGGAGTTTTATCACTAACTTTGGTGGGACTCAAGTCCAAGAAAAGTTAAGAAAAAATTTTCGAGCAAAAAATTAATTTTGTTTGATTAATCCATAATTCATTAATCCATTAATCCTTAATACTTGATTCCACCTTAAAAATACTCTTTTAAAATCTTCACATTTCTGCTCTGTTTTTGAAATTTTCCACATAGCTGATATTATTTCTTCTCCTCCTAGTCTGGTACCTGCCTTTTTGTTTGTTTACTGACAGCTTGAGTTATTGAGTTAGATACTGACAGAAATATCTCAGTGCTGTCAAATCTAACTTCAGGAAGATTTTACAGGTATGAATAGTTAAAGACAAATGTCCATCAGTCTCTAACATCTGAGTCTGTACAAAATGTCATATGTCCAAATCTCATCAGATGCTGTCAGCATCGTTCCGGCCCCACAAATTTCCACTGCACAACCAGGCTAAGGGAGGGAGAGAGATGATGTCCTTTTAATTTGGTTTAAAAAAGCACCTATGTTTTTATAATGGATTTTTTGGTTGGTTTTAAAATAACAGGACTTCAGAAATTAGTGGTAGAATAAGCAGGTGTTTGAGATCTCTCTGTCAATACAAGTAGCTGTGAAGGATGTTCTCTCATTACAATTTTAAAATACTCAAGCAATGAGCTTTCTGCCACTTACTTGGGGATTTTGTTCCAGAGACTAATTTCTCCTGAGTCAAGTCTGAACTTCCGCTTGCTCAGACAGATTGGGCTTATTTTCCACATATGACAGTTTGAAGGTGTTGTCCTTCTCTCCTGCTAAAGGAGTGTGTTTCCCAGCAGACCTGCTGCCTCTGATTTTTGAAGAAAGCTTTGGCCTCAGAGATAGAAATGAGTTTTCACTGCTTTTCACTCCTATTTGTTTGCGGAGTCTGGGTACAGAGATATATCCTCTGCTGACTCACTCGCGCACATCTATCGAGTTGTTAACGAAAAGTCAAGTTTCAGGGATAAATTCTTCACTCATTTGAACTTACACAAACCTGTTGAGCACCTTTTGACCCTGACAACAGTCCATCAGTGGCGCAGGTTGCCCGGAGAGCAGGCTGTGCAGTCTCCTTCCTCGGAGCTTTGTCAGGACCTGACTGGATAGAGCTCAGAGCAACCTGGTCTGACCTCAGAGCTGACCCTGCTCTGAACCAGGCTTGGGCTGGAGATCGCCCAAGACCCCGTCAGCCTGAATTTTCCCATGATCTTATGACCTTAGGCCAGATCTTCTGGTCTGGTTGAACTGACCCCTGAACACAGAGTAAAGAAGAAGAGAGGGAAGGTAGCATCAACTAACTGCCTGGCCACCTTAGAAATCAGTTCTACCAGAATCAGAAACTGCAGAGATGGGGGGGATGATCTAGGTACGTCTCTTTTTCCTGGTAACATCCTCTCTTGCTGGAAGTTGTGAGGAGCTGTACAATAAGGCTGCTGGTGAGGATTGCTCTGGCCAAAAAATATTCAGAAGATGAGCGCACTGTCTTGAGCCTACGTAGGCATTGAATGAGAGGGCAAAGGCAGAGCAGTGGTGGGGGACCTCATCCTGGTGGGATAATGATGAGGCTGGAGTTCAGCTCTATGTTTCTTCATTGCCCGTACCAATGCATCCATCAGACAGCTCACACTGATACCTTAGAGCATGACCTCGTAGAACTGGAAAAGTGATTCACTATGATTTTTACTGTTTTGATTTTAAAACTTTTTGTAAGTTGAACATCTTTGATTGTTTGTTGAGATACTAGGAGCTAAGAATTGCCATAATTTTGCTATTATCTTTGTGGAGTTACGCCTTTAACTCAAATTGCTTGTCAGACATAGGCTTTCACCTCAGAAAGTTTGATGTCCTTAAAAAGTTTTATTTTGATGGCAGCTGGAAGGGAAGAATGAGAATGCCTCAGGAGAAACAGGCCTCACCTCTGATGCAAATTCTGGCTGAGAGTCATAGCGTAGTGATGGATCTCCGCTGGCAAATCCAGCACAACGAGAAGAACTGGAATCGGGAAAAGGTGGAGCTCCTGGACAGGCTCGATAGAGACCGGCGAGAATGGGAGCGTCAAAAGAAGGAGCTGCTCAGACGGATTGAGCAGGTGAGGGGTGGTTTTGGCATGGCTGATGGCTGGCTGCATGCATTAAGCTTTGGACCGTGACTATATTCAGACCAAGGCTGAGAAACTATATTAAGAATCAGCACGGGAATAATTTTGATTCCTTGGCTACATTAGTGTTTCACATGGTACAGAGCAGTTTACATACACAAGGGAATAAAAGGAAAATGCTCATAATCCATGTAAGATAATGTTTATGAGAAATCAGCTCGAGGTTAAAGGCCATTTCCTGCTTCATTTCAGTTACCCCAGACAGGGATGGTCACATTGATTCATTCTGTTTGAAAGCTTATATGCATCTCTTCATGCTAAAACACTCAATCCCACACACAGGGTTATTCAAGGTTTGAAATATAGCTTCCTGCCAAAAAAAGTCTGTTCATCCGTGAATTGCCACCAAAGATGCAGCTGCTGTGACTATTCAGCCTCAACTGAATTCTTCTTCTCTAGCAAGGGAACCCAGGGAATGATAGTGAGGAGCCCTGACTGGTAACAAATTAGCAGCTATCAGTGCTGAATATTCAGAAGACCCTTCTGACCTTGGTCACATGAATTTTGTGCACACCTCTGCTATCATTTGCAAATCTAATAATTGCATACCTATCCATTTGTTTTTCATGCTGATCTGCACTTTCATCTGCTTAGTATTAGAGCCTGATTTGAAAATGTTGTTCCAAATTACACCTAATGGATTTATTCTTTGGCTGGAAACCTAACAAAAATAAAAAAGAAGTTTAATGAGGGAGAGTTAATACACAGTTTTTGACTGAACATTGTTCAGTTCTGAGTCATGCATTCCTGGAGGAGGAAGAAAAACAACTAAAATTGTGATTCCTCAATTAGCTGATTACTTTCTGTCCTTAGGACATCAAAAATGGAATTGCACCAGATTTGTACATGCTCTCTAGGGAGCATTACACTTGAATGAAGTACAAAGTAGCTTCACATGTTAAGCTGGTGAAATTCCATGACTGGTTTCTGAAAAGGGTCTGTTATCTGTTCCTCACATTCCCATGCTTGAGCTGCAACAAGAAGCTAAGGAAAACTCACCAGATGGGAAACGCTGAGCATAAGACTAGACCTCAGTTGAAGCTATAGCTTTTAAATCTACAGAGAAGTACTTAGGAAAATGTACTCTATGGATATTTCTAAAATCACTGCTAAATGTGTAGGCCTGACCAATATGGTGGTGGGGACATTTATTGACTGAGTTAGGACAGTCAGTGCACATGAGCGAGGAGGCCTTGTGGCCGAGCAGTTCATCAGACTCATCTGATTCCCAGGTTTTACAGCTAGAGGATGCTGAGTTCTCCGTGGTTTGACTGGGCTGGTCTCTCATTGTTGAGGTTCAGTGACAAAACTACCTCCTGGGGATTCTTCATGCAAAATGGGAAATAAATAGGTGTCAGAAAATTTCCCAGTGTATTAAGGACATGGACACAACCTTTTGTTTGGAGAGTCACTAGTACCTCTTTGGACGTTTATGCTGCTTTCCCTGTGAACTGTATTTTTAAATGTTATCATCTCCTTGATGTATCCTCAATAACCTAAGGGATTTGACCTGGTTAAAAATTGCTTTTCTCTTCCCTGAGAACTGGGGACAGTAAAGGGAGGGGGAGAGGAATCCCTGTTAATGTTACCTAGCCTTTAACTCTCTTTAAACCTGACGTAACCTCTCAGTGTCATCTTGGGAGAGTCTACAAAATAGCCGTTAACTAGTCCTGGAACTGATTCCTTTTGTTATTATTCTGGACCCTCTAGGGTTCAGCTATATATTTACTGTACAACTGAGTTGTTTACAGTATTAGTGATAGATAAGGAAATAAAAAATATGATATCGAGCTATTTTTAAAGGACTGGATGATCAGAAGAAATAGCATTTGAAGACTTGGCTGTCTGCCTGCAAAAATTCCTAACCCCATTTTTGCTTGTAATCAAACATTTCCCTGTGTGACAGGAAGCTTCCAAATATTTGCAGGCTTTTAGTGGAATATCCTCTCAGATTGCATTCATGCCCTGCTTTAGATGGAAGCAATTAGTATATCTTTAAAGTCCTTCTCCCCAGTGTTTTTCTGTGTGTATTCCATGTATGGAAATACATAGAGGATGAAGAGACTACACCAGTGTGTATATTTGAAAAACAGAGTCTAAGACATAATGGAAGCCTGTGTGCCAAGTTTCATACTAATGCTTTATTCCTGTCTGCTTTCACACGGTTCCTGAATAATACATGTATGATAAGAGGGAAGCTTACACCAATGTATAAAATATATAAAATACTTTACTCTGGATGGTTATGGGAATACTACTAACATATAAAAAAAGCATGATGACCTACTTTTTACAGAGCTCAAAGTTTTATTCTTTCCAAGTGCACTGTCACTGTTTTTCCTTAGAGACTCCCCTTCTACTATGTTACCAAAGCTAATTCTGCATGGAACACACTGCCAGATATTTAAACACATGAAATTACCTATATGAAAAGCTGTGTGTTTATAGGTATAATTGGATGAGGACACAGAAGCAGTAGTCACTTAAAATTTAGGCTGGTATTTGTCCTTTTTATTCGCCTGTCAGTTTTTTGACAGTTGGAGAGTAAGCAACAAACTATTGTTTTCTTATAAAGGTTCCCAGACCATCGTATCATAAGGATTCATGAAAATCCAGAAGAGCTTGCAATTGGAACTGCATATACAGAATATATGCAATTATTTTCCTTGCTCTGGGTCCCACCCATATCCTGGAGAAAGGACTCCAGGATCTCTTGAGAAACCTTCCAGCCCCTGCATGTATGGGATACTTTAAATTAGCTTCTTTTAATCAGACTGTTTCAGATTTTGTAAATAATGAGTAAAACACTGAAGATGCATTCAGTTTTTTCAGGCCTAAATCAAATAAAAATCCCCTGACTGCAGCCCAAGTGCAAATTCAGTCATTTGCTAAAAATGGTTTTGAGCCATATGATGTCTATTTTTTTTCAAACACACCCAAGAAGATTTAATTAATATGTTTTTGTAGGTCCTCAGTCTTCAGGGTCCTAGGGGATGACATAGGCATTTGTAGGTTATTGTTACTTGGGCCTGGTAAAGACCTTAGCAGGCAGCTCTAGCAAAGCATCAGAATTACGTATCAGATTCTTCCTATCATACATTGTTTGAAAATATCACTCACTTCATCCATCTTGTTGTACTTACAACTGAAAGGAAAGTTGATCACATAATCTAATTTTAAGATTGGCAGTAGTTCCATTTCACTCATGCTCCTACCCTCTCTTCACTCTGCTTTTGCAAAGTATAGAGTTAATAACTTTGATGGTCCTTCTATAAATATGCATTTTCCTCAAACATACTTTGTGTGCCTAATTCATCTCTTTGACAATAGTGCTGTGTACAAATAGCCAACTTTCTAGCCATGCGTTAGTTCTAGACAGTTTTTAAAACAAAGGCTTTGTTTTTTGTTAAGTGGAATTTTCCACCTCTGGAAACAAGAATGTAGGATGAGTGATGTACGTAAAAGTGCAATCTTTATATTGCTGACCAGAAGAAAAATGTGTTTGTTTTGAAGACGCTCCAAGTAACCAACCCTTCCTTGAGGTTCTACTTGTATTCCTTTAAGATCACATATCAAGCTTGTTTTTTTAAATAATAGTAAGCGCTGACTTGTTTCTTTAAAAATCAGATTACAAGTAGATGCATTCTTTTTGTGTGAGTGTATACATATGTGTGTATATGTGTATATATATATATACACACACAAATATATAGTGTATGTGTTTGTGTGTATGTATACATAAACATGTAAATATGCAAAACTGTGGGTGTGTATGTGTATACATATTTAATCCCTCAAAAGTCAATGAGTGATAGCATCAAAGCCCTCGAGACATACTCGAGTCTGCAGTACTGCAAAGCTGGCAGCCCTAGAACTAAGCCGTGATTTCAGCCCACGTGCCATACTTGCCTCCCAAAGACACGCGTGTCTCTCTCCTACAGAAAGCTTAAATCCTACAGAAGAGAAATGCAGAATACTATCGTCTACATAAATACCTGCTGTTTGTTTTAATTTTCCCTCCTTGCCAGCTTCAGAAAGAAGTGAGCCCACGAAGAGGAGGCAGTTTTCTTTGCGACCAGAAGGAGAGTAACCTTCGTCCGTTTGCAACCCAGGGGAACCTTCACTTGCCTCGTCCGATGGGGGCAAGATCCTACTCTGATTCAGATGCCATCCAGTTTGATGATCGGTCACTGTCAAAGCTGAAGGAGAGCGATAGGTGCACTGCCACAGAAAACCTCTTTCTGGAGTCGCTGTCTCTGGATTCCCCTGACGAGTGTGAGGAGCACCAGGCGCGTCAAGTGGAGCGGGAGAAATTCTTGACAGACTTAACGGAAGTACGTTCTCTTCTGCTTTGTCTCAAGCGGGTTTCATGGATAAGTATACATGACAAAACGTATTGAATTACAAGGTCTTAAAGTTCTTCCAGTTGTAAATATATACATATATATGAAGAAATGTGGGCTCTATTTTGCTAGTAATACTGTAAGTACTGTGGAGAGGTAATTCTGATTGTCCCACAGTGGTTGCCTTCTAAACAGATTAGCACAAGTCAGTGAGATGAGATTTTAAAAAATATATAATTATCCTTCATCAGAAAAGTTACAGATTACACCATAAAAAGCTAGTAAGTTCCAAAACACGGTACTAAGAGGTGCCGTCAGGCCATAGTTAATGCCATCTATAAGCTGCTAAAATCTGCACCAAAGCATGCATACTGTCACGAGATCCAGGTCTTCACAGCTGAGTTTACATTGGTGCTGAATGAAACCCGGGGCCCCAGTCCCTATGGGCTGATAGAAAGTAACCTGTCAACTTGCATATTATGTTCGTGGCAGTGAGATCCTTCACGTTCACCACCACTGTGCAGTTTAATCGCTTCTGTGAGATTAAAACATTTTGAAGCTTCAGAGAGCTACAGTCTTCCTTGTTTTCTGTTGTTCCTTGACTGTTAATGGCTGTTACAGAACAAGAAGGACTCTGGAAGTTATGATTTTTATCAAGCAGGCAGCATGTTGCTCGTTGCTTTCCAGCTGCAAGTTTTGAGAACTTTCTTCTTGCCTGAAAGTTCAGATTTGTGCACAAGTTAGACACTTACTTCATGCTCTGAGTGGATAAATACTGGTTGGGTATACAAATCATAGCTAATAGGGAAGCAGAAAATTTCCCATCAAATATGTATGTATATACTCAGGCTTGAAAGTTTGACTGCTCTGGGAAAAAGCTCGACAACAGGACAGATCACAAGCTCCTTGCAGAGGAGCTTCACCAGCGTGACTTGAATTGAACACTTCAGCTTGTGAAAATGTGACCTAAGCTTTTCTTTGAGACATATAACATCGTTACTTTGCTAAAGGATTGGAAAGTCAGGTTGTCTGGAAGGAAGCAGAGAAAAAAATTGAGAGAGCCAAGAAATAAGACTGCCTTTCTTAAATTTTAAGTACCTGTAGCTATTGTGTGTATTCCAGTTAGCATTCCCTCCCTTCGGTGGCAGGAATGTATGGGTGACTATATAGGATTCCTTGTTCCTTATTTCTCAGCTGATTATTTCATTCAAGCCCAGGTGCTTAGTGAAAAATGTTGATCCCTTTGTCAGGAATTTATGTTTTTGTGTTTGACTGACTGGTTAGGATTTGACTGCTGTTTTCTATACTTTAAATTCACTCTGATATTTAAGAATGGAGATCTCTGGAGATATTTTCCCTTTTTCAGACATTACCACCATTAACAAAAGTTTTGCCAGCAAAATTAGGGCCTTGGTGGTACTTGCATAGCTTCTTTCCTTCAAAGCCTGCTTTAGAGAAACCTGTGCAAAGTCATTTACCCTCCACAGCTTTGCTCAAGTGAAACTGATTGGAGTTTAATGAATAGTTTTGCTGATGATGCACAGAAGCAGTTGAACCCCACTGAGTATCCCTCTTTACTGTATTTGCTTTGCAGTACTAACCACAGTAAAAATCAGTCCATCCTTCAGCCTGATTCTTCATTCATTTGGATTAGATTTACTCTGTAGAAACTCCATTGAAGCCAGTAATGTTATTCCAGACTTACACCAGAGTAAGTGAAAGGAGAATCAGTTCACTCCTGTTTTTTCATCTCTGACTCTGCATAAATACTGGAAAGATATTTGCTGAGTGAAAAGGCACTCTTTTTGAATAGTCACAGCCTGAAGCACACTTCTGTGCTGGTCAAGTACTTGATTTCATGGGGTCAAATAAAAATAATTGGTCCTAATTATTGTTTTGTTCCTTATCATATTTTGTTATTTCCTACATATTATTAGAAATATAAATAAACAGTTAAACAATAACTACAGAGCAATTGCTTCAGGAGAATCTGTTTTTAAAAAAGCAGCTCATTATGGGAATTGTCACCAGGAAATAATTGCCGTAACAACATCTTAATGCTGCTAGCAAGCTGTAGGTAATCCCCCTATGAAACAAGTAATAGTTTTCCCACACGTTTATTATAGCTAGTTTAATGAGTTTCAACTGGCACCATTGGTTGGTTCCTAGAGAACATATAGTGAAATCTTATGTCAGAGGACCGTGCTTTATCTCTTATTTCAGCACAACTAGCTCTCTATGATAAAGCACATTAACTCCAGAGAACAAGTTCACTCACAAAGATATGGTCCAACAAAATATTTTGTACTTGTGGAAAAAAGTTTTTTGCAGCTCTACTTGTATTTGTGATAACATGGGACTATGAAAGTTCAAGGTTATTTTAGATTTGGGACATGCTCTTTCTCTGTGCAGTCTGTTGTTCTGATGAGATGACTGACAGTTTTCCTGCCTATGTTTAAAGGGAAGAATACTCCCACAGGCACCTTATGTTTCCTTATCGCTGCGAAAGTCAGCTGCTTTTTAGAGATGAACATACCTGGTGGAACTGCCTGGAAGTAAATGACAGTATACCCACTAGCTAATGCCATGAACAGCTTCAGAAATAACTTCCCCTGTTTGTTTCTGTTTTTCTTCAGGAAGAAGAAACACACAAAGGAAATCTTCAAAGGTGAGTAAAACTGCAGGAAAGATGGCCAATACCCAGCGGCCAGAGTTCCAGCATTCTTGCACCCAAACCACAAACCCGAGGCATAACCGTGCCATCTCCCCATCAGCTTGTGAGCCAGATTAATGGACTTACTTATCCAGGGATTAATTTGTCTCAGTATGCTTCTGTTCTTCTCTGATTAACTTGGGCCACATTCAGCTATGGTGCACAGAGACTGAGCTGTATGAAAGTGCATGAGGCTTCAACTTACATTGAAGGCTACGTGTATGTTAGCAAGTAGTGCAGACCTATAGGCATCGATGTGTAAAGCAAAACAATTGGTGCTGAGGACCTGACACCCCCCCTTGCATGTCAGGGATATTCTGCTTTGGACAGTTTCTGTTCTGCTGCCCTGGGCTGAACGCCCACTTGAAGCTAGAGCACATTAGTTGTTCTTCTGAGAACATCTTCCAGCTCACTTTCATCCCAAAGCCATCCAGTCTGTGCTCTCTGAGCTTGCCCCCGATGCAAACCAAAGCATATGAATAGAAGGTTCACTTCAAAAACACACTCTTGATCTCAACTAAAACCCTAGTGTAGATGCGCCCAAAGTCTGCAGCTGGCGCTCTTGATTAAAAACTCACAATATCATTTTATTGTATCTTCCAGAACATTTCTATATAAAAATCATTGCTTACCGAATCCTCATCCAGCTTTAGTTACCTCAATGAGCGGACTCTGACAACTAGTTATTTACATTTCTGAGTGTTCCCATTCAGAAAGATTCTTTTGTTGTTTGATTTTTCTTATAGTGAAGCATTAGGATAACTCAGATGAATGTTTTTAAACTAGCAAAATGTGGGGAAAGCCAAGAATCCAGCATAATCACATAGAGATTCTCTTTTGCTGAACTAGAGCATGAGCTCAGCTCACCAAGCCAGTTAAATAAAATAGCATCTAGGCTGTCTCACCTCGCTGTGCACCAACTGTGCAGCCTGAGCAATCTCAGGAGTGGGGGTGAACTTGCAGATTTCACAGCAAGTCAGAAATACTCCGCACTTGCTTTGAAAAGTGTACCTCATATTGTCATAAAGTCTCATTTTCCATGAATAATATATTTCTGAAATGCATCTTACTGCTGCACATTGCAGACATTTGCCATACATGAGAAAATAGTAAATTAAGAGCCATTAATAAACTATTGGGTACTTTTAATGACTCATCAGGAATGCTTCCACTTTACAGCTTTTAAAAAACAACAAAAGGAAACCTTAGCTAAAGAGAGGGCTAAAGTACTTTCATATGTAAGTCCTTAGTGAAAGTAGGGTTGTCTGAGTTAGTTTTCTGCCGAAAAAAAATAGTTCTATGAGAGTTTGCACGAAAGTAATACTCTTGTGCTTCCCTTTCCAGGGCGATGTCTGTTTCCTCCATGTCAGAATTCCAGCGCTTGATGGATATTTCTCCATTTCTCCCAGAAAAAAACTTGCCTTCACCTAGCAGAAAAGACGATATAACCCCTCCCTTGTCTCCTGATGATTTGAAATACATCGAGGAGTTCAATAAAAATTGGGATTACAGTAACACGAGGAACCAGGGTGGGGCTGCCGAGAAGCCTGCAGAAGCCTGGGCAGAAAGGACAGAGATTGGGAAAGCTGGGAATGACCCTGCTTCAGATCCCTTCCAGGCATCATCATGGTACCTCACCACCAGTGTCACTATGACAACTAATACCATGACCAGCCCAGAGCACTGCCAGAAGCAGCCAACGAGGAGTCATGGTGTAACCGAAAAAATGGGGGTTCGGGTCTTTCACAGCCCACCAGTTGTCCGTAGGTTTGATAATTCAGTGATAGCTGGCAGCGAAGGGAAAAACCAGGTTGAGCCAGACTTCCTGTATTCTATGACCAAAGCTATGGGGAATGTTGGTGAGACAAAAGGTGCTTCCTCGGATATGTTTGGAAGATGGTCTTGTGACCTGGCTAAACATCATAAGGATTTTCTGGAGAGTGGTCTTCATCCCATTGAACGCCCTATTTGCACTACTGTGGGCTTTGCCTCACCCTTGCACAGCTTGGAGATGTCCAAAAACATGAGTGACGATATGAAGGAGGTCGCTTTCTCTGTCCGAAATGCAATACGCTCTAACTCTAACTCAACAGAGCCTCAGTTTAAGGACACAGCTTGTCAAACCAATGGGATGAGGACGACAGGGACGCAGACCACCCAGACGATCAGTGTTGGCTTGCAGACAGAAACCCTGCGCAGTATCACCAGCAGTCCACACAAGTGTCTGACACCAAAGGGGGGATCCACTCCTGTCTCTTCACCATCCAGAAGCCTAAGAAGCAGGCAAGTGACCCCTGTTATTGAAAAGGTCCAGGCTAAGTTTGAACGCACATGCTGCTCCCCCAAATACGGCTCTCCAAAGTTGCAAAGGAAAATCCTTCCCAAATCAGACCAGCCAAATAACCGAACTTTGCCTGGTACACCTCAAAAAGGATTCAGTGAGTCCGCTTGGGCTAGATCAACTACTACAAGGGAGAGTCCAGTCCATACCACCATCAATGATGGCCTCTCCAGTTTGTTCAACATTATTGACCATAGCCCCATCTTTCATGAGACCTTCCAAAAATGCCCCAGGTCTAGCAGCCGATCCAGGTCAGCAGAACCCAGACCAGAACTGGGCCCAGTGCAGGAGCCGTGTACAAATGCCCGTGGCAGATCACCCAGTCCTCTCCGTTTGGGGGCAGAGACGCAAAAGGAAGAAGGGATTGAGGTGACAAGTATCAGGCAGGACTTATCTGCTCCTCCAGGGTATACACTTGCAGAAAATGCTGCCAGGATCTTGAATAAGAAACTTTTGGAGCATGCCTTAAAGGAAGAGAGAAGGCTACCTTCACACAGCCCACCAAACCTTAGCAATGACAACAGCACAGCAGATATTGTCAAAGTAGAACCAGGGTCCATAGAGGTAATGAGTTTGTTTGTTTTTCCTCCTATAGCTAAATGCACCCTTCTTTGAACAAATGCATTATGAGATGTCTTGCAGTCCTACTGAGTATTTACAATATCCTAGTCATGTCATGGTACTGCCAGCGAGTCCCAATCACGAAACTGTTGGATTAGTCACTGAAGAACTCGTTAAGGAATCTGAATTTCTATCCTGACAGCTTATTGGGCTGGAAAGTTATCAGAAGAGCTTTATCCTTTACCGGATAAAGATGGTTCTCCACTGAATGCCAGGGGATAAGGGGTTTCTGTCACAAAACACATCTCAAATTAACAGATGTTCTAGGGACCCTAGGTCTGAGTAAATTTCTGTATTTGTGCTGGACGGAAAGGTAGACGGTTTCTCCTATGCAAGAAATGGGTAATTCTGTATTAACAAGGCTGTGTTAAAAATAGTGACTGCAATGCCCTGATCCAGAACTTTAGTGCCTTCAGCGTACCTTTTCTGGATGTATCTGCATAAGCTTGACTTTGGTCTGTACATGTGATTAAACAGCATGAAATTTGGAATTGATTGTTGCTACCTTGCAAAATAATAGTGATTATAATAAGAAGAATCAACTAGTCTAAGCACAAACCTATTTAATACTTAAGAAATCTATACTGATGTTTTACTGTACTGTTGAAAGTTTAACAGTTATCATCTGTCACAGCAGATATGCCTGAGTATTGGGAGTCAGATCCTCAGATATAGGAATATCCTACAGAAATCGACCAAAAAGAGGGTGTAATGATGGACAAAAGTTCTTTGAGCTGTCAATGCCTAACTCTCCTGTTTCTAGTGAACCTTTGTGCCAAAGAGAGTTGGTCTGGGAAAGCGCTGAGAGAGCTGAACTATGGCCAGCGCTTACCAGTGCCTGTTTTCTTTGTGGTACAGCCTTGAAATGGTGTTTTTTGGGCTGGTCAGCGATATTCCTCAGGGTAGGAATGGGAGCCTGTCATGCTGTCCGTCCCAGGCATCCCTGTGTTTTGGCGGTGCTCATCCCCAGCATGCCGCCTTGGCCTTGCTGGGGTGAGATGGGCAGCAACAGCATCTCTGGGTTCACGCCTACTGCTCCTGCCTCAGAAAGCCTCAAGGGAAGGGACAAAAGCTATTTTCTCAGTCAACATTTGGGTTGAGAGGCTTTTCTGGGAACCTGGGCGCTGGGACTTTTGTTCTGCAGTTTGCCTTTCACTAGTTGGCTGTTCTAAATGGATATGATTTGCTCCTCTTTTGTAGGTACTACTCAGAGGGCATAATCGTTTTTCCTAACAGAGCAGCCAAAGTTGAGGATATATTACCTGTATGCTGTTTAAAAGGAAATAAATGTGGAAGTTTGTATATATAAAAAAGAAACCACATGGGTATTATAAATAACAATGAAAGACAGTGGGCTTTGTGCCTAAAACTCAGAAAAATAAAAGTGGAAAGAAGCTTCATTTATCTGGATCTTTCTAGCTATCTCTGTATTTTGCCTTTAATTTGAAATATTGGGAATGCATTACCATTCCTTATTAGAAAGTATGTGGTATGCTTCACAGCGTCACCTCAATTTTGCCTTCAAGGCATCACTGAAAACTCTTGATTTCCTCCTGCATCTTTTAAATGTCTCAGCAAATTTCAAGTGTAAAGTAAACTGATGTCATCCCACATCATTGCAAATTGCTGTTGGCAAAATGCAGCCAACGTCAGTACCAGAGTTTGATGCATGGAGGGATTTGTGTCAAGGCTGTTTAGCAAAAACTCATTTACTATCAGCATGGTAGAAAACTGCTTCTGTTTGTGAATTTTCAGTACCTTTTGCCTAATTTTTTGAGTGCCAAACCTCAGAGCTCAGGCTTTTTCCTCCTTGTAAGTCTCACTCGGTTGTTTGGACTGTTGTTTAGCTGCCCAGGTTATGAACTTAGGGTGGTCCTCTTCTTTCCTAAGAAGGTGCCTGGAGAAGGAAGGTGGAGGGCGTCCACATGACGGGCTTACCTTTTCGTAGCTGAGGTGTTGCTCCACAAGATGCACGTAGGGAGTGTGGATTTCGTGCTGAAAACAAAACCGCAAAGAAGTTTAGACTCTGAAAGTGCCTTGGGTTATTTATGGATTACACTGACCACACAAATTACACCACGTGCAAGTTACGCCTCGCACATTTTGTGGCAAGCAAGAGGCAGTGGATGCAGTGGGTGCTGCTCTCTGGGGAGGCAAGCTGCGCTC